AAGGACTGATTTGAGAGTTGTGAGTGGGCAGCCAGTTGGAAAGTGTATGTGCGTGTCAGGTTGGCTGGTTTTCCTGAATATTCAACTGGTGTGAGTATGATAATGTTATGTTATGTTTCAGTCAGAATATGACTATGAATTGTATATATATATATAGTAAGATTATTGGTATTTCACCTTAAAGCATGTAACTATAACTTAGGTGAAATATAGGTAATATTATTGCTGTGGTTAGTAATATGATGGAATTGTGATCAGTATGTGACATTTTGAGAATGTCTCTAAGTTAGTATACTGGCGTAATGATGATATTCATTCAGCAGGTCACGTGTAATGTATAGTGGTAGTGTTGTGTATCAAGTGACTGTAAAACAGCCCTGTAAACATATCCTGTGTATGTGATCTATATATATGTATATATATAGAAATATAGATAGTGTACATGTAAAGTCACCAAGTACATGGTGTGCTTTTTGTATCCAGTGTCCGGGGTAGGTGTTACACCCCGTAAGGCTGTCCCGCCGATCGTTTGGGATCGACCCTGACATGCCGCCCGTGGATGTGAAGTAACATCTGTGTATCTGGGGAGAGTGGCGTGCCCCGTCAGTAAGGCTGTACCAACTGATCAACAGGAATCATATGGACATGCCGCCAAAGTGTGTACAGACTTACATGCAGGGGAAGGACCCTTAACCTACCACCAAAGACCTGAACTGTCTGGAAACCCCACATGTGGTGACAATAACATCGTCAGTGATTTATACAGTATGCAACTGATTTGTGCTTTTAATGAATTGTTTACTTATTCCATCTTCCATGTACATGACATAATCATATGAATTGTTGTGTGTTTCTTTAAAAAGACAATTGTGGTGTTGTGATATTTTGAGTATTGATGTGAGTGTATGTGAGTATATGTGAATGGTGAGGTATGATGTGCTTGTTTGGGTGTGTAGGGGAAAGAGTGTGAGGGTGTGTTTAGTGATGTGAGAATGAAGTTGTGATGCAAGCCTATATTAACTATTGTCAATAGGGTAAATTTAGTTAATAAATTATATTAACTGTTAAATCTGGTTTTGTGTTTACTCTAGTATGTGTCATTTTGGTGGCAGCGGTGGGATGTAAAATTTTCCGTCACATCTGGAGTAAAAATTGTTTTGACCGTAGGTGATAGTATGGTGGACTTGAGACCTATTTAGCCTTTCTCAGCCTTTAACCCTGTTTTGGCCGTCGGTGATAGTATGGTGGACTTGAGACCTATTTAGCCTTTCTCAGCCTTTAACCCTGTTTTGGCCGTCGGTGATAGTATGGTGGACTTGAGACCTATTTAGCCTTTCTCAGCCTTTAACCCTGTTTTGGCCGTCGGTGATAGTATGGTGGACTTGAGACCTATTTAGCCTTTCTCAGCCTTTAACCCTGTTTTGGCCGTCGGTGATAGTATGGTGGACTTGAGACCTATTTAGCCTTTCTCAGCCTTTAACCCTGTTTTGGCCGTCGGTGATAGTATGGTGGACTTGAGACCTATTTAGCCTTTCTCAGCCTTTAACCCTGTTTTGGCCGTCGGTGATAGTATGGTGGACTTGAGACCTATTTAGCCTTTCTCAGCCTTTAACCCTGTTTTGGCCGTCGGTGATAGTATGGTGGACTTGAGACCTATTTAGCCTTTCTCAGCCTCTAACCCTGTTTTGGCCGTCGGTGATAGTATGGTGGACTTGAGACCTATTTAGCCTTTCTCAGCCTTTAACCCTGTTTTGGCCGTCGGTGATAGTATGGTGGACTTGAGACCTATTTAGCCTTTCTCAGCCTTTAACCCTGTTTTGGCCGTCGGTGATAGTATGGTGGACTTAGAGCCTTTAACCCTGTTTTGGCCGTCGGTGATAGTATGGTGGACTTTAGCCTTTCTCAGCCTTTAACCCTGTTTTGGCCGTCGGTGATAGTATGGTGGACTTGAGACCTATTTAGCCTTTCTCAGCCTTTAACCCTGTTTTGGCCGTCGGTGATAGTATGGTGGACTTGAGACCTATTTTTAGCCTTTCTCAGCCCTTTAACCCTGTTTTGGCCGTCGGTGATAGTATGGTGGACTTGAGACCTATTTAGCCTTTCTCAGCCTTTAACCCTGTTTTGGCCGTCGGTGATAGTATGGTGGACTTGAGACCTATTTAGCCTTTCTCAGCCTTTAACCCTGTTTTGGCCGTCGGTGATAGTATGGTGGACTTGAGACCTATTTAGCCTTTCTCAGCCTTTAACCCTGTTTTGGCCGTCGGTGATAGTATGGTGGACTTGAGACCTATTTAGCCTTTCTCAGCCTTTAACCATGTTTTGGCCGTCGGTATGCTCTAAGGTGTACGAGCCCGTGTTAACTCAGCAGGGACTTCAGTGTGAACAGGAGTGGCCCAGGCATCGGAGGTCCTCACATTCTCTGCACTGAGTTGCTTCCCTTAGGCCTGGTAAGAAACCTGTGATCCCAGATTCAACCTGATCACTGTCCTTTGTTGGGCCAGCCTCATTCATGAATCAAGTGTCGCTATACAAAAGTCCCCAGCTGAAACTATTCAAACATGCAACTATATCAACTACAAACAATTCATGCTCTTCATGGTAGGGCTTCAACGAGTCCATATTTTTGGACTCGAGTACTGGAGGGGTGAGACTCGACTCGGACCCGAGTACTCGAAATTCATACCTTTCAAGCAAACGATCAATTGTCAAGATAGTTACCTAATCATTTTAAGAAGTGAAATGTCAATCGATGTATAATATTTACTCTCATCTGCAGACTTGTAACAACTAATACCATACAGCCACACCGTGTGAGGAATAAACTATTTAATTTAGGTGTTAATAAAAACATTAGCAGATGGGTTAAAGAATTCAGGGTACATAGAACTCAGTATGTCAGTGTCAATGGCTATCAATCTTCTTTTCTCTCAACCTCTACTGGAATCCACATGGCTGTGTTACTTCATCCGTACTCTTCGTTTTGTATACCAATGACTGTTACTTGTCAATATATGACTTGTTTACTGTGAAATTTGCAGATGACGCCACTGTTACTGGCCTAATTTCTGATTCTGAACACTATTATCGTCAAGGCATTGACAAAACCGTAATGACAGTTTTTTATCAAACCTTTTTTCAAAGTGTGTTGACCTACAATTTATGTTGGTATGGGGATCTGTCTCATCGCAACAAAACAGACTTTTCAAAATTGTTAATACTGCTTGCAAAATTTCTAGAGTGTATTTCGAGTATATTCAAAAAGGCAGCTAAAATTTGATTTGATAGTTGACATATTTGATCTCACCATTTTGAACTACTTCCTTCTGGACGCTGCTGTCGATTACCTTCCCTCAAAACAGAGCTCGACAGTCTTTCATACCATCAAGTATTCGTGAATGCAACAAATATTTTGAATCACCATCATGTGATTAGAACTAGAATTATTCAGCCTCTTTACCTATGTGGTTAATTAAATTATATCATGTTAGTTTTATTTGTAAATAGCATTCATTATGAGCATGTAATTATTGTGTATATTTTTGTGAACTGTGTATATATTCATTTTGAGACAGTTTGGATGTATGAGAATTTCCTCTGGGATAATAAAGTAATATCTTTTTCTTAATATTAGACGTTAACGGCCGCTCATGCTTAGCACATGGCAGACAGTCCGTCAACGTCAATAATTCGAGTTATCTCCCCTTTTCGAGTCCTCGAGTCCTTGAAAATGGACTCGAGTCCAGCTAAACCTGACTCGTCCTCGAGTACTCGAGTACCCGTGGAAGCCCTACTTCATGGTGCTGTGTTTACTCTCTGGAGTAGGTAACAAGTCCAGCATTCATGAACTTATACCAACACTTATGCTGGATGAATGTTTGTACACAACATGCACTCAGTGATCTATGCAGCATAGAAATACTAAAGTGCTGTCGGAAATAGAAAAAAAACTGTATTTTCTCATGTATCTCTACAATTTATGTAGTTGATATGTGAAAGTGTGAAATTATATCTGTTAATCTAAGTTCGGCCTAACTACAGTCTCAGTGGTAGAGAGATAGTAAACGGAGAAAAGGGACTTTACTGAGGGGAAATTAGTGCAGAAATGGGCAATGCGGGTTTTTTCTTAGTCCAAAAAGACTTATTTGGAACAGACCATGGCTTTATGCAAATTAGTGTGCGACGATATTGTATTACAAATGACACTTTGAATGCCCAATTTGAAATTAGACGTAGATTCATTATAAACAATAGCTGACGTAAAAAATAATAACTTTTATGCCGAAACTATTAAGGTTGTAGCTAGCATGCATTCTCACTGTCACTATAAAAAGAAACAGATAGGAGGGGTCATCTCAAAAGCAAAACATTGGGTCGGGCTTGGGGATAGAGATATCAGCTAAGATAAGATAATCCTTTAGGAGGTACACGGCACGTCATAACAATTTACAAATAATATCCAGTCCTGTCGATCTTTGGGTGGTCATGCCACCTATATACTACGATGCGTTTCTATGGTTTTCGGGGTATCATACTCTTTTACATATCTCAACATAAACTATATGAAACTATATGAAAAAAAGACACGTTAGATGTTAATCAATAGATGAGACATAGTCAACTCACATGAAAAAGCACAAAATATCTTTGAGATGACCCCTTGTGCCTGTAGGCAGCACGTGCATTTCATGCCAGGTGAGTCGACGGTGCTTCGTCATACCTGGCTGAGCGACCAAATTGCCATCTATAGTCTGATCTTTTGTTTTCAGCAGCTATTCAGCTTTTTTCTAAGTTTTGCCCGATTTTACGAGTAAACATGATTTTCTGGATATTGTATTACGCATCCCACTGAACGCCCAGTTAGGCCGAAGTGGGTTATTTCGACATATGCTATTTGCAATTGTGTAAATTTTAGGGATACAGAGTAACAGCCTAAAAAACAGTTTGTTTCTATTTCCGACAGTACTATAGTAGTTCTGTATGCAATATTATCAAATCTGCAATAAATGTCTACCAGCAATTTATTTGTTACACTCTACATGTATGTCGTCACAAATAATAATAATAACACAACCATGTCCATCACTAACACGATGCCAACAATGAGTATTGTTTCAGGTTTAACAACAGTTGACTCAGATTTAATTAGCTACCCACCCACAATCAACTGAATACCATTCTTCCCAGTTTCTTCCAGTGTTAGCAATTACAATGAGCTCTAGTATAGTTTGGGTGTTAGAAGTGGAAGACACAGTACCCCACAAATGAATTCTTGACAATGAAGGTGATACCTAAAAGTTGTAAGCATTAAATGACAGATATGCATGTGATGGTCTGCGTGTGTGCGTGCGTGCGCATGCACATTTGAGTGTAGATTGACAGGAAGAGGCAGCCGGGCTGATCCTGAACAGAGATTTAGGGATGCATGTGTGTGTGCATGCGTGTGTAAAGTCAATACACTGCTACTGTGTGTCATCTCTCCTGCCTCTGATTGCGGAGACGTGCACATATACCAGTGGTTGTATTCATTATGATATTGTCATCACGCACAATGTCAATCTCCACTTGTGGGTCTCTGTCCAATGTACTGAACAGGTTCTCCTCGCTTCCCCCGAGCCCTTGGGTCTCCCCCAGCTTGGCATTCTTGCAGCTCTTGAGGTGACGGGTCAGGTGGTACTTGGAGTAGAAGGACTTGCCGCACTCAACACACGTGAAGTTGCGTTCCTTGTTGTGCACCAGCATGTGTTTCTTGTAGTTGGCCAGCCTGTAGAAAACCTTCACACACAGAGCACAGGGATAGCACTTCTCCTTGGTGTGCTTTAGTTCATGAGATTTCAGGTCAGAGGGGCGAGCTATCTTTGCTGAGCAGAATCGACACTGGAGTCCTTCTCCACCAGTGTGGATGATCATGTGAGACTGAAGATGGGCCTTCTGACGAAACGACTTGCTGCAGATGTCACAAGTAAACTTCCGTTCACCTGAAACAATGATGACATATTATCTAATATTTACCAACATGTTTTAATTGAAAGGAAATATAAATCAGAGTATTGTGTCATTTTTAATACTGCATGAAAGAGAAACAAAATGGTCAAGAAAAGAGGTCACCCAGTTTGCAGGCCTAACGAAATAATAAAAGATTATGAATCATAGTAAATGTTGCAAGCAAACTTTGTCTCTGTATCAAGCCTGCTGCATCTAAACAACTCTCCCTGACAACGGTTTGACTCCACTACATCATGTTGGTTGATCTGACCTCATCCTCTCTAAACAACTCTCCCTGACAACGGTTTGACTCTCACTACATCATGTTGGTTGATGTGACCTCATCCTCTCTAAACAACTCTCCCTGACAATGGTTTGACTCTACTACATCATGTTGGTTGATGTGACCTGATCCTCTCTAAACAACTCTCCCTGACAACGGTTTGACTCTACTACATCATGTTGGTTGATCTGACCTCATCCTCTCTAAACAACTCTCCCTGACAACGGTTTGACTCTCACTACATCATGTTGGTTGATCTGACCTCATCCTCTCTAAACAACTCTCCCTGACAATGGTTTGACTCTACTACATCATGTTGGTTGATCTGACCTCATCCTCTCTAAACAACAACTCTCCTGACAACGGTTTGACTCTCACTACATCATGTTGGTTGATGTGACCTGATCCTCTCTAAACAACTCTCCTGACAGCGGTTTGACTCTACTACATCATGTTGGTTGATCTGACCTCATCCTCTCTAAACAACTCTCCCTGACAATGGTTTGACTCTACTACATCATGTTGGTTGATCTGACCTCATCCTCTCTAAACAACTCTCCCTGACAATGGTTTGACTCTCACTACATCATGTTGGTTGATCTGACCTCATCCTCTCTAAACAACTCTCCTGACAAGCGGTTTGACTCTACTACATCATGTTGGTTGATCTGACCTCATCCTCTCTAAACAACTCTCCCTGACAATGGTTTGACTCTACTACATCATGTTGGTTGATCTGACCTCATCCTCTCTAAACAACTCTCCCTGACAATGGTTTGACTCTACTACATCATGTTGGTTGATCTGACCTCATCCTCTCTAAACAACTCTCCCTGACAATGGTTTGACTCTACTACATCATGTTGGTTGATCTGATCCTCTCATCCTCTCTAAAGAACTCTCCCTGACAATGGTTTGACTCTACTACATCATGTTGGTTGATCTGACCTCATCCTCTCTAAACAACTCTCCCTGACAACGGTTTGACTCTACTACATCATGTTGGTTGATCTGACCTCATCCTCTCTAAACAACTCTCCCTGACAATGGTTTGACTCTACTACATCATGTTGGTTGATCTGACCTGATCCTCTCTAAACAACTCTCCCTGACAACGGTTTGACTCTATTACATCATGTTGGTTGATGTGACCTCATCCTCTCTAAAGAACTCTCCCTGACAATGGTTTGACTCTACTACATCATGTTGGTTGATCTGTCCTCATCCTCTCTAAACAACTCTCCCTAATGGTCCAACTCTACTACAAACTACATCATGTTGGTTGATCTGACCTCATCCTCAATTGTCACTCCCTGTGATGCCTACAGCCCTCAATAGCTCACTTACGTATTGGTAACTTTTGGTGTCAATTCAAAATAACTTTCCAAACTTTCCTATGTAACCACAAATATTTTGTGACTGTCTCAACCCTACCTGTATGTATGTTGAGGTGCTGGCGGAGATTGCTCTGGTCGGAGAACTTCTTGCCACAGTGTGAGCAGGAGAATGGCTTGAGCCTCATGTGCAGGGCCACCATGTGGGTCTTCAGCTTGGTGGTGGACGTGAAGCGTCTGTTACACATCTGACACGGCCAGCGGCGGGAGCTGGAGTTGGGGTGGTCTGTCTTCATGTGTCTGCTTAGGCTCTTCCAATCACTGAACACTTTACTGCACACATGACAGAAGGGGCAGTTGGAGGGCCACAGTTGGCTGGGCTTGGCTGGCAGGCCTGCACACGCAATATACTATGGGTGACCATATGGAGATATGTACTACCTCAATACAGCAGCTCAAAAACACCTTTGGGAAACTATTTATATAGTATTATAACAGTATCGTGAACTTGCATTTTCCACCTATTTAATGCTATACAAAAATAGTTCAAAGGAATACAGGGAGGTTCTCTTCATATTCCCCAGAGACCATGTCATTGTAATAGTTTTTTGTCTATGGGACTTATTGATAATTGAATAAAATGTACATTCATATCTATCACTTTGATTATAACATGTCATATTTGGTCTACTAGTAATTTTTATCTGAACCCTGAAAAGCATCATACATTTGTGAAAGTTCACAGAAACAGTAAAGAGACATTTTTTTTCTGAGAGGTCCATGGTCCAGGTTAAAACCACTTTATGTCAGCTGGTACCCTAATATGAAAGGCCACATGTCTTTGGCTGTGGTCATTTTGAATAATTAAACATACCTGTGTTGATTTTGTGTTTGTGTTAACACTTTTGGAACAATAAAGCTCTGTATCAAACACTGCACTGCACCTTCCTTATAAACAAAGATGCCATTACCCAAATATGACAACAATTCATTAAATAATTGTTAATTATGTAAGTAGTTGGCTGAACTAATCTGATGCGATAAATAGAGAATACTACACGAGGTCTCATTACATACGAATTATACGAAACGAGTGTCCTTCCTATGGTATCTGACCGAGCGAAAGCGAGGTCAGAAACCATAGGAAGGTCACGAGTTTCGTATAATTTGTATGTAATGAGACCTCGTGTGGTATTTTATTTATTACCCAGGTCTTACATGCATTAAATTGACAAAATAGCGTAGCTGTGGTTTCAAACCGAAACCGGTTTCATAAAGAGGTTGCGGAAGAATTTTGTTCTGACGTACACTTTTGCATGACTTCACACTGTATTGACATCAATACGCCATTCTCGTCTGTCCCCTTGGTAACTGACGTCACGATGCATGTCAGTTGCCTCTCGTACAGCCTCCTACAGTAAACTACTCCGTAGGACCCCGTGCCTTGATTTGCAACTGCTTTACTCGGCTAACATCACTGGTGAAAACATTGCGTTTATGTTTTTCGACGGATATAATGTCTCAGTTAGACTCACAATTAAACAGTGACACAGCAACGTTCACAATGTTTACATTCCCACAATGCATCTAAGTTGTAGAATGAATGAATTCACGTGTTTGTTATGAATGAACAAGTAGTTCCGTCACAACGTGACCTAACTGAGAGGTCATCGGTTATCCAATCAAATCGTTAAAATCTCAGGTCAAGTCGTTACGACATAGGTCAACGCGATACGACACTCGTGTGACGTACGAGATTAGTATGCAACTACCCATACGTTGACCACGTGGGTAATAATTCTCAATATCAAGGTATAACGTTGTACTGCACCTTTGCATAGTCAGAAACAAATAGCTTTTTATGTGAGGCAAAGAAACAAATCAACCCATGTTCTCAATACTTATTTTCGTATCATTACCCTTCCAGCAGGATCACTAACCTAAGAGTTTTGCGTAGTCTTTAGCAAACCAGAAAAGCATCTCTGATCCAGCCTCTATATCCTTGTTAGTTACAAAGTACAGCTCTGCACCCCGTTGGTAGACCACCACATTCTGGTCCTGCAGTGTAGGTGCCGGCTTCACATACATCAGCCAGTTACACTCTGCTTCATCGCTTACGTCAACCACGCTGTGGTGGTCACTGTAGAATATCTGACATACATAATAATATACTGCTAAACGTTTGCTATTGATCAAGTTTTGAAAAAGATTCCAATAAATAAGATTGAAATATCCCCATGCACATTGACTGGTTAAACCCTGTTGGTCATAAATCTCCTGACAAACTGAAAGAGGCATGCAGTCATGTGCAATATGTGCATGAGGTGCTTGGAAATGTATTTTCAGAGAGAACAACATTTGCTACTGAGGACTGTAACAACTGAATACATTTTTGCCCAATCAGCATCGAAGGAGTCATTTGATAATCAAAGATTTGGGCAGAGCATAGGCATGCTTGAAACCTGGGCAACACAACATCCCATTGCAAACATCTTTGGTGTTGGCCAAAGTATGATCAGGTCAATACCAGGTCAACAGAGTTCTGCCACAGAGTGGATGAATCAAGATACTATCTGGATCCAACTTTTTATGCAACTCTCTGTAAGCTTTGTATCTGCATGCTGGGTGTCTGTAAGCCCCGTGGCTCTAAGTTGTTTGTTTATAAACCCATTGTTTGTAAACCCTGTGACTCGAAGCTGTACTTTCATAAACCAACTGTCTGTATACCTGTGACTCGAAACTACTTTCATAAATCAATTGTCTGTAGGCACTGTGACTCTAAGCTGTACTTTCATAAATCAATTGTCTGTAGGCCCCCTAACTCGAAGCTGTACTTTCATAGACCAATTGTCTGTGGGCCCTGATCTAAGCAGTGAATGAGCAATGTGTCTGTAGCTAGGGCACCTGTAGCCATGTGTCTGTATCTAGGGCATCTGTAGCCATGAGTCTGTAGCTAGGGTACTTGTAGCCATGTGTCTGTAGCTAGGGCATCTGTAGCCATGTGTCTGTAGCGAGGACACCTGTAGCCATGTGTCTGTAGCTAGGGCATCTGTAGCCATGTGTCTGTAGCTAGGGCATCTGTAGCCATGTGTCTGTAGCTAGGGTATCTGTAGCCATGTGTCTGTAGCCAGGGCACCTGTAGCCATGTGTCTGTAGCTAGGGCATCTGTAGCCATGTGTCTAGCTATGCATCTGTAGCCATGTGTCTGTAGCTAGGGCATCTGTAGCCATGTGTCTGTAGTGAGGACACCTGTAGCCATGTGTCTGTAGCTAGGGTACTTGTAGCCATGTGTCTGTAGCTAGGGCATCTGTAGCCATGTGTCTGTAGCTAGGGCATCTGTAGCCATGTGTCTGTAGCTAGGGTACTTGTAGCCATGTGTTGTAGCCATGTGTCTGTAGCTAGGGCATCTGTAGCCTATATGTCTGTAGCCATGTGTCTGTAGCTAGGGCATCTGTAGCCATGTGTCTAGCTAGGGCATCTGTAGCCATGTGTCTGTAGCTAGGGCATCTGTAGCCATATGTCTGTAGCTAGGGCATCTGTAGCCATGTGTCTAGCTATGCATCTGTAGCCATGTGTCTGTAGCTAGGGCATCTGTAGCCATGTGTCTGTAGCTAGGGCATCTGTAGCCATGTGTCTGTAGCTAGGGCATCTGTAGCCATGTGTCTGTAGCTAGGGTACTTGTAGCCATGTGTCTGTAGCTAGGGCATCTGTAGCCATGTGTCTGTAGCTAGGGCATCTGTAGCCATGTGTCTGTAGCTAGGGCATCTGTAGCCATATGTCTGTAGCTAGGGCATCTGTAGCCATGTGTCTAGCTATGCATCTGTAGCCATGTGTCTGTAGCTAGGGCATCTGTAGCCATGTGTCTGTAGCTAGGGCATCTGTAGCCATGTGTCTGTAGCTAGGGCATCTGTAGCCATGTGTCTAGCTATGCATCTGTAGCCATGTGTCTGTAGCTAGGGCATCTGTGAGTTACTCACCTTCCAGGTAAAGCTGCTGGTGTAGGTGTAAGTGTCTTCAGACACTATCTTCCCCACAAGTGGACCAAACTCTGTCTTTTTAAGTATCTTCTCATTGGCAAAAACACCTGAAACAGAAAATCTGAGTAAGAGAGGAACCTGTTGTTCCAATTGTCTAACTTGCCCTATGCTTCAAACCCTAATGTTATTTCTCCTTTGATTTACTTCATTGACTCTTGCTCTATTGTTCTCTTGATCACCAGTTTACTGATTGAAATTAAACTTGTAAAGCCCACACCATGTCAGCAACAATTGAAAGTAAATCAGAAACAAAAATAATGCATAGCCAAAATATGATTCAGAAATAAACACAATGATTTGCATGAACTGTTCTGTACAAACTACACATGCCAACAAGATACACTTTGCAGTGGATAGTTCTAATTTGAAATTTTAAGCCTGGTTATACATTTTCTATGTGTGATTGCAGAGAAACTGTAAGAAAACAAAACAAATCCATAAAATTCATACAAAGTGAGTAAGTGACTGAGTGAGTTCAGTTTTACGCCGCTTTTAAGAATATTCCAGCTATATCATGGCGGCGGACACCAGAAATGGGCTTCACAAATTCATACAAAGACATCTAGCAGCCACTCTATATATGAAAATGTTCTAGTAGTTTATACAAATCCATCAAATATTGACACTTATTTTAAGGAAACAGTTTCTTTTCAGAAGATAGTTTTGTGTAAGAAAAATGGTATCATCCTATCCCTTCAGTCGCATAAGCTTCCAAAATATAATATAATAAGTGTTTGCCACTGATATGGCAATGTCCCCAGCTGCTAAAGAATGGAATATCTATATTTACTACTTTTTAATTTTTGGTCACATACAAGATGCCTGAAATGACTGGGTCTGCATAATCACCCAATGTAGGCTGTGAACATATTTGAAAACATTGTGTGCAATGTTTTATGAGATATCGAGCTGAAATAAGATTGAAAAGCGGTCAAAGTGTCGTGGTGACCTTGAAGATAAGGTCAAGGTCACCCAAATAAACTGGTGTCTGCGTAATTACCCAATGTAGGCTGTCACCAAATTTGAAGATATTGGGTACAACAGTCCATGAGATGTCGCATTAACAAGAGCTTGAAAAGTGTTCAAAGTGCCATGAAGACCTTGAAGATAAGGTCAAGGTCACCCAAATAAACTGCTGTCTGCGTAATTCCCCAATGTAGGCTGTCACCAAATTTGAAGACATTGGGTACAACAGTCCATGAGATGTCGCGTTAACAAGAGTATGAAAAGTGTTCAAAGTGTCATGGTGACCTTGAAGATAAGGTCAAGGTCACCCAAATCAACTGGTGTCTGGGTAATCCCCCAATGTAGGCTGTCACCGAATTTGAAGACATTGGGTATAACAGTTCATGAGATGTCGCGTTAACAAGAGTATGAAAAGTGTTCAAAGTGTCATGGTGACCTTGAAGATAAGGTCAAGGTCACCCAAATCAACTGGTGTCTGGGTAATCCCCCAATGTAGGCTGTCACCGAATTTGAAGATATTGGGTACAACAGTCCATGAGATGTCGCGTTAACAAGAGTATGAAAAGTGTTCAAAGTGTCATGGTGACCTTGAAGATAAGGTGAAGGTCACCCAAATCAACTGGTGTCTGGGTAATCCCCCAATGTAGGCTGTCACCAAATTTGAAGACATTGGGTACAACAGTCCATGAGATGTCGCGTTAACAAGAGTATGAAAAGTGTTCAAAGTGTCATGAAGACCTTGAAGATAAGGTCAAGGTCACCCAAATAAACTGGTGTCTGCGTAATTACCCAATGTAGGCTGTCACCAAATTTGAAGATATTGGGTACAACAGTCCATGAGATGTCGCATTAACAAGAGCTTGAAAAGTGTTCAAAGTGCCATGAAGACCTTGAAGATAAGGTCAAGGTCACCCAAATAAACTGGTGTCTGCGTAATTCCCCAATGTAGGCTGTCACCAAATTTGAAGACGTTGGGTACAACAGTCCATGAGATGTCGCGTTAACAAGAGTATGAAAAGTGTTCAAAGTGTCATGGTGACCTTGAAGATAAGGTCAAGGTCACCCAAATCAACTGGTGTCTGGGTAATCCCCCAATGTAGGCTGTCACCGAATTTGAAGACATTGGGTATAACAGTTCATGAGATGTCGCGTTAACAAGAGTATGAAAAGTGTTCAAAGTGTCATGTTGACCTTGAAGATAAGGTCAAGGTCACCCAAATCAACTGGTGTCTGGGTAATCCCCCAATGTAGGCTGTCACCGAATTTGAAGACATTGGGTACAACAGTTCATGAGATATCGCGTTAACAAGAATTGGGACGTACGGACGGAAGGAAGGACGTAAGGACGCCGCTGAATACATAGTCCCCTGTTCCGCGTTGCGGCGGGGGACAATAGATGATGAAATAACGTACAGAAATCATTGCTAAACATTAAATATACCTAGCCAGCTACTTAACATAGAATGATATCTCGTTACAAACGTGATTTAAATTGCTTTGAGTAATCATAGAAGATGTACCCACCCAGGTTGTTGACATTGTCTGCGGTAATCTTCACATGGGACGTTTGCAGGATCAAGCATGTTGGCAGTGTTAGCCTGGCGCGAGGCAGCACTGGTTGGTCAGCAACAAAGGTGTAGTTCATTTTGTGGTAGGTGCATCCGTTCTTGTAGCTGTTGTTGCATTCCACACAGTCTGCAATTACACAGGTCAAGGAATGACACCACACACTGTTACAATACATACTCCATCAGAGGTCGGCCACCATAAAGGTCAAGTGCCTGCTTCCTAGTGGCTCTATGGAGGGGGTGCTGTATCATTAATACATTGTGGTTAGTGTAGATTTGCAGTTGTGTCTATTATATCATCATGCATTGGGATTAAACTTTCTCAGTAAATTACAGATTCAAATACTTTGGGGGTGAAGTCCCATCTGGATCCACACTCTCGGAATAAGGCAGTGAGATTTTAATCCCAGATGAAATACACTTTCCAAAAGGCATTGTGTTTTCATGTCATCATGAGTTTGCTCTTGTATGTGTCTACACACTGAATTGTGTCTAAACTGGCATCTGTGAAAGTTCTCATCTTGTAGCCTTGGCTAATGTTCATACATAATGTCTAAGCAGAGAGCCACAAGGCCCTGTAGCTCATCTACATTGTTAGGGAATGTTAGCATGGCTCTGTAGCTTATGTACATTGTTATGGAATGTTAGCATGGCTCTGTAGCTTATGTACATTGTTATGGAATGTTAGCACGGCTCTGTAGCTTATGTACATTATTATGGAATGTAAGCATGGCTCTGTAGCTTATCTACATTGTTAAGGAATGTTAGTAAGGCTCTGTAGCTTATCTACATTGTTCTGGAATGGTAGCAAGGTCCTGTAGCTTATCTACATTGCTGTGGAATGTTAGTAAGGTCCTGTAGCTTATCTACATTGCTATGGAATGTTAGTAAGGCTCTGTAGCTTATCTACATTGTTATGGAATGTTAGCAAGGCTCTGTAGCTTATCTACATTGTTATGGAATGTTAGTAAGGCTCTGTAGCTTATCTACATTGTTCTGGAATGTTAGTATGGCTCTGTAGCTTATCTACATTGTTATGGAATGGTAGCAAGGCTCTGTAGCTTATCTACATTGTTATGGAACGTTAGTATGGCTCAGTAGCTTATCTACATTGTTATGGAATGTTAGTAAGGTCCTGTAGCTTATCTACATTGTTCTGGAATGTTAGTAAGGTCCTGTAGCTTATCTACATTGTTATGGAATGTTAGTAAGGCTCTGTAGCTTATCTACATTGTTATGGAATGTTAGTAAGGCTCTGTAGCTTATCTACATTGTTCTGGAATGGTAGCAAGGTCCTGTAGCTTATCTACATTGTTGTGGAATGTTAGTAAGGTCCTGTAGCTTATCTACATTGCTATGGAATGTTAGTAAGGTCCTGTAGCTTATCTACATTGTTCTGGAATGGTAGCAAGGCTCTGTAGCTTATCTACATTGTTATGGAACGTTAGTATGGCTCTGTAGCTTATCTACATTGTTATGGAACGTTAGTATGGAAAGGTCCTGTAGCTTATCTACATTGTTCTGGAATGTTAGCAAGGCTCTGTAGCTTATCTACATTTTTATGGAATGTTAGTAAGGTCTTGTAGCTTATCTACATTGTTATGGAATGTTAGTAAGGCTCTGTAGCTTATCTACATTGTTATGGAATGTTAGTAAGGCTCTGTAGCTTATCTACATTGTTATGGAATGTTAGTAAGGTCCTGTAGCTTATCTACATTGTTATGGAATGTTAGTAAGGTCCTGTAGCTTATCTACATTGTTATGGAATGTTAGTATCTACATTGTTCTGTGTAGCTTATCTACATTGCTTATCTACATTGTTATGGAATGTTAGCAAGGTCCTGTAGCTTATCTACATTGTTGTGGAATGTTAGCACGGCTCTGTAGCTTATCTACATTGTTATGGAATGTTAGTAAGGTCCTGTAGCTTATCTACATTGTTATGGAATGTTAGTAAGGCTCTGTAGCTTATCTACATTGTTATGGAATGTTAGTAAGGTCCTGTAGCTTATCTACATTGTTATGGAATGTTAGTAAGGTCCTGTAGCTTATCTACATTGTTATGGAATGTTAGTAAGGTCCTGTAGCTTATCTACATTGTTATGGAATTGTTATGGAATGTTAGTAAGGTCCTGTAGCTTATCTACATTGTTATGGAATGTTAGCAAGGCCCTGTAGCTTATCTACATTGTTATGGAATGTTAGTATGGCTCTGTAGCTTATCTACATTGTTATGGAATGTTAGTAAGGTCCTGTAGCTTATCTACATTGTTATGGAATGGTAGCAAGGCCCTGTAGCTTATCTACATTGTTATGGAATGTTAGTATGGCTCTGTAGCTTATCTACATTGTTATGGAATGTTAGTCTGGCTTATCTCTGTAGCTTATCTACATTGTTATGGAATGTTAGTAATGGCTCTGTAGTAGCTTATCTACATTGTTGTGGAATGGAATGTTATGGAATGTTAGGGCTCTGTAGCTTATCTACATTGTTATGGAATGTTAGCTTAAGGTCCTGTAGCTTATCTACATTGTTATGGAATGTTAGTAAGGCTCTGTAGCTTATCTACATTGTTATGGAATGTTAGCATGGCTCTGTAGCTTATCTACATTGTTATGGAATGTTAGTAAGGTCCTGTAGCTTATCTACATTGTTCTGGAATGTTAGTAAGGTCCTGTAGCTTATCTACATTGTTATGGAATGTTAGTAAGGTCCTGTAGCTTATCTACATTGTTATGGAATGTTAGTAAGGCCCTGTAGCTTATCTACATTGTTGATGGACTGTTAGTTATGGTTCTGTAGCTTATCTACATTGTTATGGAATGTTAGTATCTACATTGCAATAGCTTATCTACATTGTTATGGACATGTTAGTAAGGCTCTGTAGCTTATCTACATTGTTATGGAATGTTAGTATGGCTCTGTAGCTTATCTACATTGTTATGGAATGTTAGCATGGCTCTGTAGCTTATCTACATTGTTATGGAATGTTAGTATGGCTCTGTAGCTTATCTACATTGTTATGGAATGTTAGTATGGTTCTGTAGCTTATCTACATTGTTATGGAATGTTAGTATGGCTCTGTAGCTTATCTACATTGTTATGGAATGTTAGTATGGCTCTGTAGCTTATCTACATTGTTATGGAATGTTAGTAAGGCTCTGTAGCTTATCTACATTGTTATGGAATGTTAGTAAGGCTCTGTAGCTTATCTACATTGTTATGGAATGTTAGTAAGGCTCTGTAGCTTATCTACATTGTTATGGAATGGTAGCAAGGCCCTGTAGCTTATCTACATTGTTATGGAACGTTAGTATGGCTCTGCAGCTTATCTACATTGTTATGGAATGTTAGTATGGCTCTGTAGCTTATCTACATTGTTATGGAATGTTAGCATGGCTCTGTCGCTTATCTACATTGTTATGGAATGTTAGCACGGCTCTGTAGCTTATCTACATTGTTATGGAATGTTAGTACGGCCCTGTAGCTTATCTACATTGTTATGGAATGGTAGCAAGACTGTGTAGCTTATCTACACTGTTATGGAACGTTAGTAAGGTCTTGTAGCTTATCTACATTGTTATGGAATTCAGTTTGGTATGTGTTTTTACACAATACTATTATTCTATTCAGTTATATCTTTAACAAAACCCGTAAATTCATTAAATGTGTGAGAATACTTGCCACAACAGTGAAAGTGAACGAGGCCTTCAATTATTTACCATGCTTATTCCATGGGGCTCCAATGGTGTACATGAACACTGTAGTTGAGCTAACGACACGTTGCCTGACTCACTACTACACTCATTTACTGTGGCAATACTGTGTCAACATGGTAAAAGGTGTAGTCAAAACAGAGGGTATGTATAGAACTGGCACTGAACTGAAATCAGTATTGTTCATGATATTTCAAACAACATGATGTCTGTCTTGATTCATCATTACGAGAATTTTGTTATTGTATATTAACTTTGCTTGCTATTTCAGTAAAGACATGATACTGTGTTGCTGCCTCATATCAGTGTTGTCTAGTAATGATATGATTAAGGATGAAATGGCAGTGCATCAGGGCAAAATGACATGGATGTGTCACTATGGCTGTTGAATAAACAATGTTTAAAATTGAATCCGAATTTTGAAAGCACTTTCTGAGACACCATTTCAGGAATCACTCTCATGAAGTTTAGGCTTTGGTTGTTTAAATTTCAATGGATCACAGGTAGACAGAAGAATCATGGAAACTTTTTCATGATTATAAATGTGCCCAGAAATTACATTTCTTTCTTAAAATTTCATTACGTGAGTTTTTGAGTGTGTGCACATACATGTGTGTCCTTGTGTGTTGTTTCATGGCCCACTCAACTGTATTTAAGCTATGAGGGCCTATTAACAAGCTCGAAAACTCACAGAAAAGGAATTGTGTAGTGAAATGAAATTTTTGTTGTTGTGGTAATTACATGATGCCAGGGACATATATCACCTGAGACAAATAAGTAACACAAGCAGGAGATTGTGACCTTTGGAAAATGGTCAAAACCAGAAGAACATGCAGTGATCAGGCAGACTGTTCTGTATTCATAATCCAGTTAGCTTAGGTGTGTTGTACAACTAGTGTATATTTCAATGACTTTTACTCACACAATCCTGATAGTTTGGGTGTGTTGTCCTGGGCTTGCTTGGGTTCCGTTGTCTCCTTGGGAGGGAGGGCAGCTCGGTCCATGTCAGGTATGTCTGATGGCTGCTTCAGCAACATGTCTATCACTGTTCAAAACAAGATCAACAAGTGTTACTGGGAAATTTCTAGATTATCTCATCAGAAAAACAGCCAGTGACTTTTGTACATAATGTCTACCTTGAAGCAGGCATATGTCAGTTCTTATGACTGTATCTAAAAAACCTGGGAACTACACGGAATCTGTGTCGTACATCAGACAGCGGTAAGACTACAGAATACCTGATACCTTCTGCCATCTTTGAAGGTTTACTTTTGGTTAGGGTTAGGGTTAGGGTTAGGGTTTAGGGTGACATGACACTAAACAATATGGCTGGTAGGATCCGGTATTCTGTAGTTGTACCCAAACAGTCAATAAAATATATACTATGTCAAGATTCTATTTGAAATTAAGTAAGTTTAGTTTCATGCCACTTTTAAAGGCAGTCAGTAGTTCAGAGTAAAGTACGTGGATCTCCAGCTTTCTGGATTTAGATTATGGAATGGTGATAGCTCATTGTAATGTACACAGATCTCCAGCTTTCTGGATTTAGACTATGGAATGGTGATTGTTCAATGAAGTCACAATGAAGTGTCATGATGTTGTGTGGAGACTCACCTGACATGTTGGCCAGGGTGAAGGCTGGTGCTGCTGGCTCCTGCCCCTCCCCCTTGTCCCGGCCCTGGGGGTCATGATTTAGAGGCACCACTGTAAGGGGACTGGTAAGGTACAGACGGGTTGTCAGGTTCTGACTGGCAGGGTCGGAGGGAGACAGGGCAACGTTGGACAGCACGCCAGATGTCTGGAAGTGATTGGACAGGTGCATCATGGGAGAGAGACTGCTTGGGGGTGGAACTGGGTAGTTCTCCCCCGATACTTGGGTGGAGGCTCCAGTAGCAGCAGACGCATGAGTGGACATAGAGTTGGCTATCAGTGATGACTGGTCATCTGTTTCTGGCAGTTGACAACCAGACTGTCTTAGAAGGTGCCCTTGGGTCATCTGATGTGAGTCCACAGGGGCAAGTTGGGGGAAGGATGGTGATGATGTTCCCTGCGAGCGGGAAGGGTTGAACACAATCTGATTTCCGAGAGAAGTGACGAGATTGTGGTGACTGAGAGACTGGATGAAGGGGTGAGACAGGCAGGTCTGTAGAGACTGCATGTCACTGGCAGCCAGCGTGGTGGACTCCTGTGTAGACATTACTGGTACGGGCATTGGAAACTGAGCTGAAGACAAACATTACAGTCATTAGTAGACTTCAATATGACATCCCTTCATTCAAAGCATTTTCATACCTATCATAGTATTTTGAGCTTAAAGTATGCCATATTTTCACTCACAGGCAAGATTTAACAAAAACAATGTAACCAAATTTTGAGGTATCAGTATCATTCTGGTAACAGTGTACCAGTGTCATGACGTTCAATTACAAACTCAGTACAAAAAACATGGGGCACTGGAGAACACTTACAAACTCATTATAAAATAACACAGTGCACAGGAGAATGCTTCTTCCTTGGAATGGTGTGGGGTACTGTAGGAAGTCACTAGTGGCACAGCACACAACAACAGTCTGAATAATATCATAAATGGCAGACAAGGATGAACAGGTCAGCTACCAAATGGATCACACTTACATGAGAAGGTGGAGGCAGCCTGATGGTGGTCACTGGTCAGTGCCAGTCCAGTGGTAGGCTGTGAAGGGCTGTCCGATACCTCAGGTGCAACTGTAACACCTTAAAACACACAAATGCTTGCAAACTACACTCCCCAAAACAATGATACAGGCAACATAAATGCAGACAAAAACATGACAAACATATTCAGCTACAGTATAAGGTCATTAAATACATCTTGAAATTAAGAATAAGTTAAACAGACTTTTCTGACATTGAAAAAGAGGTGGGGTAGCCTTGTGGTTATAGTGTACACTCGTCACGCTGAAGACTTCGGGTTTCATTCCCCACATGGGTACAATATGTACCATTTGTGGTGTCCTCTGTCATACAATTGCTGGAATATTGCTAAAAGCAACATAAAACCCTACTCACTCACTCATTTGCTATTTAACCTACTATGGGCTCAATAAGATAATTACACAGGTTCTCATCAGGCAGGTATAATTTAAGTAAACGAATGGTGTGAACATTTTTTAAACCCGTTTACAAAGTAAACATATACCTGCCACCTTATTCTCTTGAAGAAGTTGGCGGAAAATCTACTAATCCATCATACTCATGGTAACCTTATACATGTAGATCCAAGACACTAGATTATATATAGTAAAATAATTTCACATAAGAGATTAGCAACTAATTTTTATCTTGCAATCCTGTGACCAGAGGCATTTTTTCTCTAATATACTTTACCTTTTACCATCTTAAACTTGATAAATCATAAACACAAATCCGCAACCATCTTAAGAACAAGTTAAAGTTTACCGATGATCAATGGCCAATATCGTTTTCTTCACTTTTCAAAACATACCTTGTGTTCCAACAGGCAACATAGTTTGAGATGAAGTTGATGGAGCCCCAGTTGAAGGCGTCACCACACTTGTTACCATGGTTATACGACATGGCAGCGCATGATGAGGATGTACAAGTGACACTGAAGCTGCTGCGGTAGATGACACAGTGTTGATAATGTGGGGTAGCAATGCCGAGTCCATTGGAGCCTGAGTGGTTCCAGCACAATACACAGTTGCCCCTGACAACACGGCAGTCCCTGGGGTGTTGCTGCTGGCAGTTGTGACGGTGTCAGGTCGTTTGTTTGTATCTGGCAGTATTCTCTGCAAAACTGGAGAAAAAGGCAAAGCCACAGAATTGCCACAACTTGACGTTGAGTTCATGGACGACAGAATGTTCTGGTTGTTGACGATGTTCGTTGGAATAGCTTGAAAGATGGTGGATGTAGGTGGTGCTGGTGCTATAGGGACCACATTCTGGGAGGGAATGGCAGCCGAGTTGGTGGCTGGAACCTGTGAACATCCTGATGACTGTAGAAGTGGCAGGCTGGCAAGAGCTGCAACAAAGTTTGCTGGGAAGTTCAGTGAAATAGCCTGCTGAAGAATGTTGTTAGGTAATATGGCTGGCTTGACAGTGGGAGAGGGTTGGAGAGGAGCAGACATCGTAGGCTGGCTGAACGCAGGTCTCGACTCACTGACACTGTCATATGTACTAGTTGGTGGGAATGCAGGTCGAAGAAGGGAGCTGATGGGTACTGTGGTGGTGATATAGGTTGGCTGGGCTGAAGAATTCTGACATGCTGACACTTGGACCTGAGGAGTGCTTACATCACAGGTCAGCTGACTAGAGCTGGGATTTAAAGTAGCAGACAGTGATGACACAGACAAGTCACATTGAAGATTAGAGTTCGGAGCGAGTGAGCTGATGGTATTAGAACTGGCACTGTTGTATCTCACCTGGGTTGAACTGTGACCCATGCTCTCCACAGAGAGAGACGTCTGAGAGTTGGATAAATCACACTGTAACACAGAGTTGCAGTCACCAGCAATGAGCTGCATTCCATGGAGTTCTTCACTTGGAATCAGAGATTCTTCCGAGCTCTGTGCATGAGACATTGTTGCCTGGAGCATGCTGGACTCTGTGTGCTGAGACATGGATTGTTGAAGCATGTTTGAGTCTGTCTGGTGAGAGAGAGATTGTTGAAGCATGTCTGACTCTGCCTGGTGAGACATAGATTGTTGAAGTATGTCCGATTCTGTCTGGTGAGCGAGAGTTTGTTGGAGCATTTCTGATTCTGACGGGTGAGAGAGAGATTGTTGAAGAATATTTGATTCTGCCTGGTGAGTGAGAGATTGTTGGAGCATTTCAGATTCTGCCTGGTGAGAGAGACTGTTGAAGTATGGCTGACTCTGCCTGGTGAGAGAGAGATTGTTGAAGCATACTAGCTTCGTGTTCTGCCTCTGCTCCATTAACAGGCAGCAACATGTCTGTGTGTGTAGCGTCATGGCCACTTGTTGAAAGTCGATCAGTCATTGTATGGTTAGAGATCAAGTCAGGTACAGGACAGCATCATGCCTCCTGTTGTTTCAGACATATCTGAAAGGGAAGAACAGATGTTTGAACTCCATGAAACATACCATCAGAATATGAACATTCAATCGACAAGTCATATCTAGCTTAGATCATGCAGACATTTCTGAAAATACTTAGCTAAATGTAAAATTGGTACATCATTAATGTTTTAATTTCACTCAGACTTGCTGCACTAGCTAGTCTCAAAGAGCACCATACCCTTGACTTTGGGTTCTACTAAAGTGGTTAAAGCTATAAATGATGGCACTTCTATTTGATCCATACACTATTTTGGAGGACTCATACATTTCAGAAGCATTTAGATGTACTCTAGACCCACAGATTTTCTGGAATTTATGCTTTTGTTTCAAAATAACATCAGATCATCACAAGCAAATAATGGGTTGTGTATGAATTATGCTTTCGAACGGTACAAGTCATCCAGTTGATTAGCTACATATGGGCATGGGTATCCAACATTAGCGTATGAGTCAGTACAGATCTCTGTGGGTAGGACTGACTAGTGCATTGCTGGTTATTCTTGACCTGTGTACCATCGTCTCCAGCCTCTTATCCTGCCAGCTGCACCCTTCTTCAAGTCTTGTACTTATACAATACACAATCTCAGCCTTTCACAAACTCTTGCTTCTAATGTGCATGATTCCATTCACTAATGGTACATGACAATATACAAGATACAAGTCTGGGTACATGAAAACATACTGAAATGCACCCTGCGGACAACATTGTACACACGTCGCTAAAACACACTTACGCTTAGCTAAAGAAGACAAGATTTCGGAAATCAATTGATGAACACCATCGAATTCTTCATGCCATAATACTTCACACAAGAACAACTGAATATGAACTCGCATTACAAAACCAAGCATTCAAAATATAATATAAACGCTTGGTTATGTTTACAAGAATGAAAGAAAGACAGAACACATCTCATGTGTAAGTTCCATGTTTCAGGACGATCTGATCAACTACAGTACCCATTTACCGATGGAGACACATATACAGCCAAGTGCAGTAGATACAAACCTTGGTAATGTGTTTCACTTTATTTTACGTTGAATATTCTTTGGTTGTGAGGGAAACACGTTCTAAAATGTTTCTGATCGCGAAATATTCTCTTTTTTTTAACTCTGCCCGTACGAGAGTTCCTTGAACTCAGTCGGTGTCAGACTAAACCGGCACTATCTCAAAACGGCAACTCGGATTATGGGTAAATATGGAATCGACATATTACAATCGAAAAAAAGTTGAGCACCCTAAATATGTTGACCGCTAACAGAACTATGTTCAAGTTCAGCTTGTGTATGATGATACGTATGATAATAATGTTCATTTAAAGGTCACAGGCAACCAAAAAAACAAACATAATTAAAACATAATTATCAATTATTCATGACATATAATATACATGGCTGATTATGAAAAAAACAAATAAACAAAATTATAAGCGTACAGTCGCAAATCAAAAGTGCAATATTTTGTACTTGGGTTTACTTCCCTCGAAACGAAGCCCCCGGTATACCGAACCCAGTCAGAGCGGGTGGGCGTGCACTTAAGTCTTTCATTGGCTGGTTAGTTTGCCGATACACCCAGGGCTCTTTGTGTGTGTATAGAGATGTTGTGTTTTGTAAATACATGCTCATTTTTGTGTATAACATTTTGCAATCAACAGACACCGTAACACAGTAACACCTGCATGTCTGTGTAATAATGTGACAGAGACAGAACTTGGGTGCACGAGCTATAAATCAATGCGTTTTGTTTATGGTGTATAGCCTGATAGGTGTTAAGTTCAAATTGCATGTGGCCAGTGATCGAAGTTGTGTATTGCATATTGTCATTAGCATACAGGCAGGCAGACACATAGACACATATTTTAGGTGTCAATAAAACTGACATTGAGTTTTGTCTGTGACAGAGGCATATCTATATATCACAGTTAGAAATTCTGACAATGCTAAATAAGGTATGGCGTTCGGTTGATGTTAAGTACCGAACTGAGAAAGTGACTCTGTAAGAAGAACGTGTGGTGAAATAGTCAAATGAAATTATATAAACAGTTAAATCGGTAATCTCCTGTCATAACATATAAAAAGCTCGCGACTGTGAAGTATGAACAAAACATTAGAAAAATAGGTCAAGCACAAGGTTTTCTGTCTTGAAATGTCGAACGCCTCACTGGTTGACACATAGCTGAGTAGATCTAGATCCTTAACAAGGTTCTTTTATGAAGAATGATGTTTATTCTGTGAAGGGCGACGTTTCGACATAGATACTAATGTCGTTGTTAAGTCCAAGGTTCTTTTATGTAGATTATTTACTATATGTTATTTGTGTTTGTTGTTGTTTTGTGCACACAACCAAGATTAGACTACTCCTGCTCACGACTTTATAATTCGGACATCCCGCTTCCAAGCTGCGCGAACCTAGTCATTGCGCATGCGCCATGAGCGCAGTGCAGCGCAGCTGTTGGAACCACTTTTCACCCCAGCTGGGATGAATTTAGTGAATCGTTTGAAATCCGATTTCGCGGGGGTGGGGTGGGGGTGGTGGTTTATCGCGTTATTTTTCAACTTTATAAGTTGAATTTGCATTTTTTATCATTTGTTACTGTAATTCGATACCTTTTGTAATTCCATACCAAAAGGTATCAGAATCTGCAAAGTTGTGTTTTACGTTGCACGTGACCTTTAAGAAATTATTGCATGTGTACTTGCTGGAAAGTGTCTCCTAAAGACAACCGGTTGAGCATGCCCAGAAGCAAACACACGATTTTTCACAAGTGTAGTTTGTTCTTGAGCCAAATGTCGGTATTTAATCTGAAAGGGTTACAATATTCAAACATGTTTCTGCCACTATGGTACGATGAAGGTTATCACATGGCCACATATGGCAAATTATTGTATATAAAACTCCGGTATGTCCTAAGCAATCGGTCAGGAAATGAATGTCCACTACACAGTTGTCAGTCGTTTGGTCAGGAAATACAGGGAAACCACCGAGGTGAAGGATCGCCAACGTTCTGGACGACCAAGGGTGACGTCAGATCGTGAAGATAGGGCACTATTGTTGCTAACTCTATGACAACTATTCACCACAAGGACTTTTCTGAAGTACCACTGGTTACCATTTCAATGGGCATCTACGAGAACAGTCCGGCGAGCCGGGTACAACTGTAAAGGGTCAACCCTCCACTGGGCAATCATCACCAACAAGCACGTTTGGCTCAAGGTGTTTACAACGGCAAACGCTGGAATCTGAGGACTTGGTGAAGAATACATTAGTCTGATGAAAGCCGATTCCTTCTTCATGTAACTGATGGACGCTTGAGAGTTTGAGGCAGCATTGATTAAATGCAGGAAAAAATATTCAACCAACTGTTGTTGCTTTTGGTGGATTCCGTCATGGTGATGTGTCTCTCATGACTGTAAACTTGACTTGGTGACAATACGTGGACATTTGACGGGTGATCAGTATATCAATGAAGTGCTGGATCCAGTTGTTGTCCCTTATTTTGATAGCCATCCTCTTGCAACAAGACATGTACTTATGGATGAAACCGCCAGGCCACACCGTTTTGTGCAGAGATCACACCTTCCTTGATCCGCCATGGGTCATGACAGCAAATTTGGGACTTTATCGGGCGACGGGGAGTGTGTGAATGTATGAGGTTGATGTGATGTTCACAATACCACACTTTAAAAATATCAGTAGGAGTGTACCTCGAGAGAGTGTACCTCGAGAGAAGAAATGCACCCACCCCTACCAAGGTTCTAAAGAAGCAAAGCAAATGGACTGTTTATTATGTATATTGTGTAGTACACAGATGGATACTGACGACAGGGCAATGAAAGTATGAGGTTAAATTCGTGCCTGGGTTCTGCCTAATATTGCTGCATGGGGCAGGTCACGTTTCCAAAATGGAAGACAATCTTCCATAATCACACTTTTGGCGAGGTACAAGAAGTACAAAGACGACCTAACCCTGTTAAAACGTCGCTCACCTCGTGTGACATCGACTACCGACAGTGGGCAACCAGTCTACCAAGGGAGGAATAATGGCAACAAATAATTATCCATGACACCTCATGCTTCGAGAGCAGCCGAAGAGTCAGAGTGGAAGAGGCAACGCCTCAACAGCAGTAGCATCTTCACAGGTCTTCTCCTACAGCCGTTGTTGCACGCCCAGCCCACTGTTGCCTACAGCCGTTGCCGTTGTTGCGTACTGCCCCTTGGCTCCCACAGCCGTTGTTGCAGCCGTACTGCCCTAACCTAGCCCCTACAGCCGTTGTTGCACGTACTGCCCACTAGCCCCTACAGCCGTTGTTGCACGTACTGCCCACTAGCTCCTACAGCCGTTGTTGCACGTACTGCCCACTAGCCCCTACAGCCGTTGTTGCACGTACTGCCCACTAGCCCCTACAGCCGTTGTTGCACGTACTGCCCACCTAGCCCTACAGCCGTTGTTGCACGTACTGCCCACTAGCTCCTACAGCCGTTGTTGCACGTACTGCCCACTAGCTCCACCTGCAGCCCCACAGCCGTTGTGTTGCACGTACGCGCCCCCTAGCCCCTACAGCCGTTGTTGCACGTACTGCCCACCTAGCCCCTACAGCCGTTGTTGCACGTACTGCCCACTAGCCCCTACAGCCGTTGTTGCACGTACTGCCCACTAGCTCCTACAGCCGTTGTTGCACGTACTGCCCACCTAGCCCTCCAGCCGTTGTTGCACGCCGTTGTTGCTACGTACGTTGCCGTACTGCCCACTAGCTCCCTACAGCCGTTGTTGCACGTACTGCCCACTAGCCCCTACAGCCGTTGTTGCACGTACTGCCCACTAGCCCTACAGCCGTTGTTGCACGTACTGCCCACTAGCCCTACAGCCGTTGTTGCACGTACTGCCCACCTAGCCCCTACAGCCGTTGTTGCACGTACTGCCCACTAGCTCCTACAGCCGTTGTTGCACGTACTGCCCACTAGCTGCTCCCTACAGCCGTTGTTGCACGTACCTGCCCACCTAGCCCCTACAGCCGTTGTTGCACGTACTGCCCACCCAGGCCCCTACAGCCGTTGTTGCACGTACTGCCCACTAGCTCCTACAGCCGTTGTTGCACGTACTGCCCACTAGCTCCTACAGCCGTTGTTGCACGTACTGCCCACCTAGCCCCTACAGCCGTTGTTGCACGTACTGCCCACCTAGCCCCTACAGCCGTTGTTGCACGTACTGCCCACCTAGCCCCTACAGCCGTTGTTGCACGTACTGCCCACCTAGCCCCTACAGCCGTTGTTGCACGTACTGCCCACTAGCCCCTACAGCCGTTGTTGCGTACTGCCCACTAGCCCTACAGCCGTTGTTGCACGTACTGCCCACCTAGCCCCTACAGCCGTTGTTGCACGCCCACTGCCCTTCTAGCCCTACAGCCGTTGTTGCACGTACTGCCCACCTAGCCCCTACAGCCGTTGTTGCACGTACTGCCCACTAGCCCCTACAGCCGTTGTTGCACGTACTGCCCACTAGCCCCTACAGCCGTTGTTGCACGTTGTACTGCCCACTAGCCCCTACAGCCGTTGTTGCACGTACTGCCCCTGTTGGCGTACTGCCCACTACAGCCGTTGTTGCACGTACTGCCCACCCTAGCCCTACAGCCGTTGTTGCACGTACTGCCCACCTAGCCTCCTACAGCCGTTGTTGCACGTACTGCCCACCAGCCCCTACAGCCGTTGTTGCACGTACTGCCCACTAGCCCCTACAGCCGTTGTTGCACGTACTGCCCACTAGCCCCTACAGCCGTTGTTGCACGTACTGCCCACCTAGCCCCTACAGCCGTTGTTGCACGTACTGCCCACTCTAGCCCCCTACAGCCGTTGTTGCCCACTCGTCCACTGCCCACTACCGCCGTTGTGCACGTACTGCCCTCTAGCTCCTACAGCCGTTGTTGCACGTACTGCCCACTAGCTCCTACAGCCGTTGTTGCACGTACTGCCCACCAGCCCCTACAGCCGTTGTTGCACGTACTGCCCACCTAGCACAGGCCTATTCAGCCAGTTCCTGCTTCACGCTTCCGTTAAATTTCGTTCGCCAAGCAAATGAGTGAGTGAGTGTGGTTTTATGCCGCTTTTAGCAATATTCCAGCAATATCGCGGCTGGATCACCAGAAATGGGGTTCATACAGCCCGGATCTTCAGTGCAACGAGGAACGCTTTAGCCACTAGGCTACTCCACTGCCCCGCAAAGCAAAGAAGATATTGAAAACCAAAATAGAAAAGCTATATTTTACAAATGCATATTTTGTTTGATCTTTTGGTGCACAGTACCGCGCTTAAGCAATAAGCACATTAAGTTTGAAAATCGAGAATGTATATTTCTAGACTCATGGCCATTGTTTTTAAGCCCGAATGCATTGCCTATAGTTACTCCAATATGAGGAAATCCTGTTGTTATGCTTACATGATAAACGAGTTATCAAAATATTTACAAATAAGTATTACGAAAGAAAATCACTTTTGATCTTTTGTCGCGCTTGTGACAAACACAGGACTTCGCTCCCAGTGTTTAATAATATATCCCTCACTGAATACGTGTAAAACTGTTGATGGTGGTCCTTTCTCTCTGTCGTCACGTATGCAGATCATAAGCCTTCCTGGTTAAATGCATGGGCCCCATCATCAGATTAGCCGTCTAAGCTCCTTCCGAGTTTAGACATCACATGGTTACCTAGAAATAGATCATCCGTGACGGGAATATTTGTCGTTATGCTATTCTACATTATTATAGATCGAAACAACGATTCGATTGGGATCTTAAAGGATCCTGAACAGGCAAGGACAGTTATTGCTCTTCTACTGATACGAATTGATCACAAAGATGGTAATGATATGGTCTCTTCTGTTGTTTCCCTCAGATGTCAGGTGAACAATGAAATACATGTACAACAGTGATGTACGAATTCTCCCTTCACTGTAATCGAAGTTATTATTTGATTACCTATCTATCATCAAAATGCCAATTTGTAACTGTACAGACATTGATAGAAACTGGAGCAACGGTTACCATGTATTGTCGTGTAAAGTTCTGTAACCGGGGGGCTATCCATGATAAACAACTTATTACAAAAGACTATCCTTATGTATTCGCGCTATCCTGGCATCAGTGTACATATATTCACGTACACGATCCTGGCATCAGTGTACATATATTCACGTACACGATCCTGGCGTCAGTGTACATATATTCACGTACACGATCCTGGCATCAGTGTACATATATTCACGTACACGATCCTGGCATCAGTGTACATATATTCACGTACACGATCCTGGCATCAGTGTACATATATTCACGTACACGATCCTGGCATCAGTGTACATATATTCACGTACACGATCCTGGCATCAGTGTACATATATTCACGTACACGATCCTGGCATCAGTGTACATATATTCACGTACACGATCCTGGCATCAGTGTACATATATTCTGAACACGATCCTGGCATCAGTGTACCTATATTACGTTCACATATATTACACGATCCTGGCATCAGTGTACATATATTCACGTACACGATCCTGGCATCAGTGTACATATATTCACGTACACGATCCTGGCATCAGTGTACATATATTCACGTACACGATCCTGGCATCAGTGTATTCACGAACACGATCCTGGCCTATATTCACGTACACGATCCTGGCATCAGTGTCATATATTCACGTACACGATCCTGGCATCAGTGTACATATATTCACGTACACGATCCTGGCATCAGTGTACATATATTCACGTAACACGATCCTGGCATCAGTGTACCTATATTCACGTATACGATCCTGGCATCAGTGTACATATATTCACGTACACGATCCTGGCATCAGTGTACATATATTCACGTACACGATCCTGGCATCAGTGTACATATATTCACGTACACGATCCTGGTATCAGTGTACATATATTCACGTACACGATCCTGGCATCAGTGTACATATATTCACGTACACGATCCTGGCATCAGTGTACCTATATTCACGTATACGATCCTGGCAGCAGTGTACATATATTCACGTACACGATCCTGGCATCAGTGTACATATATTCACGTACACGATCCTTGTAGTCTACTCCATAGCATTTTACAGTCGAATATGCGTAACATGAGAGATACACAGTCATTTAAACTAATTACTGGAGTGAACACTTTTCACACCTCGCATTTTCAAAATTTTCTTTGAATAAAGGTAAGTGGCATCTTCATGTTGGGGAACTCAATCCTATACAGTTTGCGTGTGATCTTAGCAACTTATTTATTTCGATTTCAAGGTTATTGATTAGGCCTAGGCAAAACGATACCATGGTAAATACAGCATGGTATGTCGTGGCAGACACACAATCCCAGACCCGGAAGGCCGTCACACAGGACTCATAGCATCCAGGGCTAGACTCCGATCATCAAGCCATGTTTGATCTCATTCCCATGTTTGATGCTCGGTCAAAAGACAAGAGATTTAAGGTCTTCAGCGAGTGACTAACATCATGATAACCGCTGATCACAAACTTTCCACGACGGCACGGCAAAGCTGTGGGTCCGAGTGGGTTTCAGTCGGCTTCGGGCCTAAGGTCCAACGTTAATTTCGAACGCTTGTCATTGGCGTCCCAATTAACATATATATACGTGACATATCGAGGATACTACGTAACCACTGGTCCTTGTTTGGGGACGTGTTCATGAATATTAACAGGAGCAGCAGTATGCCGTATCATAGCGCAACATATGTGGATGTTAACCACTATTGGCTGGCATCGCCTGGAGCTGATTATAGGACAGCCTGTATCCGTCTTGGTATTCGATTTATAAGTTTCGGTGACTTGGTCGATTGCTTTTGATGAAACACCGAAGGCATGGGACACGTTGTTCATAACATCAACCACAGGTTTGTTTGTCAGGACTTCCATAGTTAAAGGCCTTTTATAGCTTGAATAGCGCTTACTGAGATCATTCAAACTACAACCGGTACATATATAGCGTTACATCCAAATGCCTCAGTTGTGAGGCAGTCAGGCTGAATGTTGCCTCAACCGATGTAGGTACGTCCAGGCTTACATGCCGAGGTAGTGATCACGGAGTTCCAGTCAGACCACACTCGTCGATTGTCCCAGTAGGAGGGTGTCCGCGCTCCCCACATAACAGATTGTTTTCTCTCTTCTGATAAACAACAACGCCGAGTTAATTGTCAGATCACGCGCTAGTGTGAGGTGCCCTTGTGACTACGGGTTAAGTACTCTCTGATTGATGTTGCGTCGTGGCCGGACTGGTCAATACGGATCACCTGTACATGATAAGAAATCGTTCACATTCAGAACATACATCGGCAGAGTTAGAGAAGGGTATAAGATATTAGGGATTAGGTGTTAGGTATTGCACTTTATTTGTCACCGAACCTCAGATTTCCTACAGCAGAGGTGCACGTATTGTTTAGAGTCATATCAGATTACTGGTGAACCAACCCACAGAGACAATAGAATGTTGGCCTGTTTGTGTTGAAAATAAAATGACACCCTCTTACCAACTAGGATCCACTTTGACACGCTCTCTAGGCTCTGGGAAACAACACGGGATCACACACACTACAGTTGATTGTGGCTGTACATTCACAATGCATCAGGAGTGGGAATCAGTATACACTCACCCGGGGGCGGTTAACCCGATTAGTGAACACTATACCCACTTACCCACATCGGTTCTGTGGAGGGAACGAGTCGGAGGCCCAGACATCCACGGACAGATTATCCTAATCTGACGAGAGTGGCTGGTAATCCGGAGTCAGGATTATAGCACAGGTCGGTATTGACTGCCGAGGCATATATCACACTGACTGACTGGTGTCTTGGTGGAGGCCTTTCAGAGTGTTCGTATGTCAGTACATTTAGTGTGCTAACCGGGCTATATAAACAAACAACCCACATTTCATGTACTAATTGTGCGATAAACCCAAACTAAAGGACTCTGTCATCCAGCTGCCCAATAGAACACCCATCTTGGTGGTCGATAGTCAGGTGAGTACAGAGCTTTTTTCAGAATGCTGTTAGTTTAAACATGGCCTATACTAGGATGTGTTTACTGCGAATACATATATATACCTTACTGATATATACGTTGTAATACGTTGATCAATTGTAAGATGAGGCTGTAACGGTTAGAGGTACACCAAAGGCTGTATATGTAGTACATACAGTTCTGCTGTTTAATAGATCAAGATCCCGCTAATTCGTCACACACCCAAATTTACGAGACGACTAATTGTCTTTGTTAGCTGCACCTATCTCAGTAGCAGAGCTTCTTTATAAGGCAGGTGTGAACATCGGACTAGTTACTGGAATCTCTGTGTATGAGAGTTCAGCTTCAACATAATAAAGAACCAAAGAATCAGTGTAGTGTATTATTGCAATACGCCGCACTTAAATTGCCAGTCACCCATCAAACAAACAAACAACTCCCCCCTGAACACACAAACACGTATGTAACTAAACCCGCGTGATAAAAAAAATCTCTACACTTGGATGTGTCCTGGTGGTGTTGAGTTTCATTCAAAGATTTTAAATATCTAAACCCTTTTCAGCCAACACGCTTTTCACGGAGGTACTTTATCAATGGTAGGCTGCTTTGTGAAGCCCTTTCATGGCTGGCCAGACGTACTATATTATGTCAAACACTGGGCAGAATGGCTGTAGGCAAGGGGTGAAATCTCAATATCGGATTAGGGTTAATTCCTTTGCCGTTTGTCAAGAGGTTTTTGTGCGAGTGCCATGTAAGAAACTACATTTGAAAGTAGATGGATTAACCCATGTTCCGCTAACCTCGGCGATAACATCTCACTAATTACAATATTGCTATGTATAATTGTTGCCAGGCACGCGAATGTTTCAATCAGATAAAAGATGTCTGAAATGAATGCGAGCTCGCCCAGTCCCCGTTTGTAGAATTGGCATGTTACCAACACAAAACCTATCAATATGAAGGGTTAAACGGCAGCGATGATCGAGAGTTATATTTCTACTTCACATTCCATATATACACCACGTATGTTGTATATAAAAAGTGGTATACATGTATAAAATTATCTACTACATAACGGTTCAGGGTAAGTATATTCTTTGTATGAAACGTTCGTGTGCCCTTATATGTATTGATAATTTGTATGGAATATTCTAAATCGTCCCTAGTGAGTGGTACTGCTGGTGAAGGAATCCACGATGCTGGTATTATTTGCTGGTAACATTGTTAATTTTCTTCATTGCAGGTAGCCCTATATTGCGATCCTCTCCCTTCAGGCATACGACAACATGTACCTGATAAGGGGTTGACGAGACGTGGTTCTGGCTCAACATATCGCCTTCGTGACTCATCGCCTACCAACAATGCCGGTGGCCGTGGAGAAGAAGGTGATGTTCTCACCCGAGTGTCTGGAGAAGTCACCAGACATCAACGCCAATTCTGTCATCTTCCAGACACTGGTGCCTCGACGCCGGAGAGACCGCTTCGGCCGTGACACAACAAGCCAGTCTGATTATCTGCTGTCTGCTACCCTATTTCCCACCGGGGTCAGGGCGCCTGCTCTGGAGGAGCTACAACAGAAGTGTGGACCCATCAGTCGACTTGATAACCCCAGAGAAACCTCCAGGAGGGTAATAGCGCCGGAATCTTGGCCTGGGTCAGGGCCGAAGGTGCTCGCCCTGCGGAAAGGGAAGGAAAGCCCGCCTGACAGCCACCGGTCATCGCAGAACAGATCTGAAGCTTTGTCATGCAACTTCCGGTCATACCATTGGTCACAGATGCTGAAGAAGAAAGACGTCCGAGATCCTATGTATATCAATACATACTGTCCAGATGAAAGACCGCTTCGGTTCAAGGAAACGTCATTCCCGCGGATATCCAAGGGCAGACCATGGTCGGTCGGGGAATCTAATCCTTCGAAACGATTTGTGAGGGTGAGCAATGAAAGGAAGAGTGCTGGCCAGCTGACGAGTAAAACCAGGGTTCAAGGTACGCCATTGCACCGGTCCAAGGAGGCGTTCCACACGGCCAGTAACAAGGAGGACAGTGAACAGTATTTTGAAGTGAAGCATGTGTCAGCTCAGAAAAGTCGATCCCGGGGACAGGAGGCGTGCATGTACTCGCAGGTTCGTCAGTGTATAAGACTGGCGAGAAATCATGATCTAACACACAGGAAAAGGACTGAGCGTCCGATGAAATCTGAGATTGGCAAATACAGACCGTTCTCCACAACCCGGATCCGCACCCCATGTGTCTCCCCACAGCCACACTACACGTACAAGGAGCAAGATTCAGCGGACACGTATAGAAATTACGTCATAACGAAAGCACTTCAAACCAGGATGAGCGGGTCAAGGTCAGCGGGCACTATCGCCAGTGGGGTCGTGGCCCGTAACAACACCGCCGCATCTACGTATTTTGATGTCGAGTCACAAGTGGTTCAATCAGTGGCCGATAGCAACATGCCAGACAGTGACTCTAAAACAACAAGTGGAATGTCTCATGACTCAGAGTTGGGACCAACGTCCAGACACTCACATGACCCCTTGACTATAGGGCTGGACGTTCGGGGGTCCACCATCGTCCCACCTAAGTCCAGCAAATCAAAAGCATCAGACTCAGATTATTCAGAAAGACCAGTGGTGACATTCAGCCCCAAGAAAGAAGTGATTACAAACAAACGCCGCGAAAGATCCAAGACGTCCACCAAGTCGGGAATAAGTGGTCACAGTGACGTGAGCATCCCGGCAGAGGAGCTGACCAACCCTCGCGAGGAGGAGGAGGACATCCTCCCCGAACCCGTCACCATCCAGCTGGACGAGAGTGGAAACCCCACCATCTGGCAACATGACCCCACCCCACGGGACAGTCCGGACTCCGGAGTCATCAAAATCCCTGCTGCAATGTCCATGTTAAGTATAGAGGACACGGAGGACACAGACACCCATGATGAAGGCTGCTTGTGAGTCGATGTCCTCTGTGAGACCCTGGCACTCACTGATTAACACGACCTTAAGGCTGGATTAGCCATGTGGACAATGACAATCATCTTCAGAAGATGGTGTATTTGTTATATTATCTTCACAGTTTATTTATAGTTTGTTTAAAGAACAAATAAACTTTTGTTTTTTGTACTCTTTTAACCATTATATATGAAAGACGTGTGGTTAGTCATAAGCGGGACACCACATTCGTTCTTAAAAAACTTGTTAACTAATACCGAGCGATTAAAAGTTGCCAAAAAGTCGCCTGCTTTTCTCTCGTCCGCCAACGAAACCACAGAGAGGTTACCTAACTCTGTCGCCGGAGCACTGCAGCGAACCGGAGGTGACTACATGTGAGGAAGGATGTTCAGTTAGTTGTATATATAGTGTGTAAAAAGCTTTAATGACGGAGTTTTATTTATAACGATGCCAATTAGTGATTTATGTATTTGTACCCCCTTAAGAGTATATGTGATCTTTAAAAGCATCGAAATATATGACGTCCATATTTTACTTGATTCTGAATTCTGATAACGTATATGGGAAGGAAATCGTAGATTAATAGTTGAGGTTTTTAACGACCTCTCCCAGTTGAGAACTATGTCAGATGTCCGGGATGGTCCTCCCGCTGACCAGTTGACGTGTACAGTTACACGTGCACATACACCTCCGTGTTTCAGATGTGTAGTGTTGTGGTACATCAACGAACTTCCATATACCTGTATTTTAATAATTGATGGTAATGTAAAGCAATAAACTGTGCATACGAGTTCAAGCTTATATTGATGATTTCAGAAACATGTCACTATTCATAAATAAGATCAGTAAAATGTGTAGTTCGTGGTCGACCCCAGCTGTCTCCATCCTCGAGTCTAATTTATGTACACCTATACGTGTTTATACGCAAGTGTCGTGGAGCTGGTATAGAAATTACAGGACAAAACAAATGTTTCCATTGTCAGGGCCCTGAGAACTGTAACATATCAGTATTTGGATACCGAAGCATGTATATTTGATTCCATTTAACATGAACGCCGCTTTGACTAGTATCTTACGGCCTGTCAGCTGGATGCGGAAGGCAAGTTACTGTAACAGTTTAATAACCACTGACACTCATCTTCAACACTTGAACTGAAGCAGAAACAGTCTTTGATCCACGGACCAGTCGCAAACACCGCCATACGCTGGGTAGAGTTGTTCCCTTTTAACCTGCAAGACTCGGTATTCATTGGTTTGATTCCCAGAGACCCGTGAAGGTCCGGGTTAGAATATTGGTTTTCAGTAACCTATGCTTGTCGTAAGGGGCGACTAACGTGATCGGGTGGTCAGACTCGCTGGCTTGGTTGACACATGTCATCGGTTTCCAGTTGCGCAGATCGATGCTCATGCTGTTGATCACTGGATTGTCTGGTTCAGACTCGATGCTGAGTGCGGCGTAAACCTAAACACACTCACTCGATTCCCAGACTGGCCCTAATTATGATTCCTGGTTCGTCAGCACCATACCCGTGGTCTTGGGTTTAACAACTTCTGCATGATACTCAAGTCACTCACTTTATATCGCCGTGTTTCATTTGTACTCAGCAAAATCCCACAACATGATGGCGATCTAGAAAATAACAGAGTATGAGTACTTCAACGGCTGACGTCATGAGCATCGAGCTAACGACAAGCATGTGTTTCTTAAGATCAAATTTTACCCGAATCTGGACCAGTACATCAGACCACGCAATCATGACTGGCTCTTGCTTTTACAAAAAATAACAATGAATTGGAGCTTGCTATTTGAGTACACACTTAATGTAACACAAGACGCACTTAGACTAAGGCTTAGTCTCTGAATGTATATAATTTTGATAGAAACAAGCAATTCCTTTTAAAGGTTTTAAGGGCTTTAGCATTGCAGAAAGGGGGAATAACGGTGTTCGGGGACTCTGTGACAAACGAAGGACGCGCTGAGCATTATGATTTGCCTCCCAATGATTCGTGCACAAAGAATTATTCATGTAATAGGACAGGTGTGAGTCAATGTGTGCCTGTCCTGACCGGGAATCAAAGTATACATGTTATATAGGAAGAAGTGTTAGCAAAATATGCCAATCTAAAAACATTATTCGGTCGTCTGCAGTCATTAATACATTTTGATAAAATATTCGTATTGCAAAATGCTATTGTGTCATGAATCTCGTGAAATAATTCGTATTTTATGCCCGCAAAGTATTGGTACACGAGTAAGTTGACTTTGCCATCGGGCCAGAACCAACGATCAGAAAAAAAGACCAAACGAAAATGTAACCAAACAAGCTCCTCCACCTGGAAAATACGATATCAAACATCAGTGGGACTTTATGTTAGTCCGGACTAATGTCGGCACACAGAAGCTGCCGCCGCAGTTAAACATGGATACCCCTCTCCGAGAGCCGAACAGTCCTTGTTTGGTTCACCCTCACGATGCCGGGCCACAGGCAAAGTAACAAATTGTACAAAATTCATGGGGGAAAGAGGGGGAGTGCTGCAAATGTCGGGGGACAGCAATTTAGTACATAATGTCACGAAAATATGCTTACAAATTATGAGGGGTCCCTTACTATTTGTATTAGGGGTAGGATATGAAACCATCGATCTCCAGGCAGACACACTCGTAACAAACGGACGGCCGTTCATTCAGAAACCAACTGTACATGGACTGGCTGTAAGAATTCAACTGGTAAACTTTGTCCTAATTTATCACGCTCTTGTCAAGAGAAGCCTTCAATATTCTAAGTGGTAGTTTCCCTTCCAATGCATATTCATTTTATACTAGCATTGACGCGTAGAACGCGCGTTGAAAACATGAAGCGCCCATAAAATATAGATAATGTTACAACTGATCCAACAAATGCGTGTGGTTGAAGGGATTTATAGTTTTACATAACCGAGGTAGCATTTCTTGAATATTGGGTCCTGTGTCCCCACCCAAACAGTTGTGGCATTGCAGGAATATAGGGCCCTGTGTTTACACCCAAACTGTTGTGGCAGTGCAGGAATATAGGGTCCTGTGTCCCCACCCAAACAGTTGTGGCAGTGCTGGAATATAGGGCCCTGTGTCCCCACCCAAACTGTTGTGGCAGTGCAGGAATATAGGGTCCTGTGTCCCCACCCAAACAGTTGTGGCAGTGCAGGAATATAGGGTCCTGTGTCCCCACCCAAACAGTTGTGTCAGTGCTGGAATATAGGGTCCTGTGTTTACACCCAAACAGTTGTGTCAGTGCTTGAATATTGGGCCCTGTGTTGACACCCAAACAGTTGTGGCAGTGCTGGAATATTGGGTCCTGTGTTGACACCCAAACAGTTGTGGCAGTGCTGGAATATTGGGCCCTGTGTTTACACCCAAACAGTTGTGGCAGTGCAGGAATATAGGGTCCTGTGTCCCCACCCAAACAGTTGTGGCAGTGCTGGAATATAGGGCCCTGTGTCCCCACCCAAACAGTTGTGGCAGTGCAGGAATATAGGGTCCTGTGTTTACACCCAAACAGTTGTGGCAGTGCAGGAATATAGGGTCCTGTGTCCCCACCCAAACAGTTGTGGCAGTGCTGGAATATTGGGTCCTGTGTTGACACCCAAACAGTTGTGGCAGTGCTGGAATATTGGGTCCTGTGTTGACACCCAAACAGTTGTGGCAGTGCTGGAATATTGGGCCCTGTGTTTACACCCAAACTGTTGTGGCAGTGCTGGAATATAGGGCCCTGTGTCCCCACCCAAACAGTTGTGGCAGTGCTGGAATATAGGGCCCTGTGTCCCAACCCAAACAGTTGTGGCAGTGCTGAAATATAGGGCCCTGTGTCCCCACCCAAACAGTTGTGGCAGTGCAGGAATATAGGGTCCTGTGTCCCCACCCAAACAGTTGTGGCAGTGCAGGAATATAGGGTCCTGTGTCCCCACCCAAACAGTTGTGGCAGTGCTTGAATATTGGGTCCTGTGTTGACACCCAAACAGTTGTGGCAGTGCTGGAATATTGGGCCCTGTGTTGACACCCAAACAGTTGTGGCAGTGCTGGAATATTGGGTCCTGTGTTTACACCCAAACAGTTGTGGCAGTGCTGGAATATTGGGTTCTGTGTTGACACCCAAACAGTTGTGGCAGTGCTGGAATATTGGGCCCTGTGTTTACACCCAAACAGTTGTGGCAGTGCTGAAATATTGGGTCCTGTGTCCCCACCCAAACAGTTGTGGCAGTGCTGGAATATTGGGTCCTGTGTTGACACCCAAACTGTTGTGGCAGTGCTGGAATATAGGATCCTGTGTCCCCACCCAAACAGTTGTGGCAGTGCTGGAATATTGGGTCCTGTGTCCCCACCCAAACTGTTATGGCAGTGCTGGAATATAGGATCCTGTGTCCCCACCCAAACAGTTGTGGCAGTGCTGGAATAAAGGGTCCTGTGTTGACACCCAAAGAGTTGTGGCAGTGCTGGAATATTGGGTCCTGTGTCCCAACCCAAACAGTTGTGGCAGTGCAGGAATATAGGATCCTGTGTCCCCACCCAAACAGTTGTGGCAGTGCTGGAATAAAGGGTCCTGTGTTGACACCCAAACAGTTGTGGCAGTGCTGGAATATAGGGCCCTGTGTCCCAACCCAAACAGTTGTGGCAGTGCTGAAATATAGGGCCCTGTGTCCCCACCCAAACAGTTGTGGCAGTGCAGGAATATAGGGTCCTGTGTCCCCACCCAAACAGTTGTGGCAGTGCAGGAATATAGGGTCCTGTGTCCCCACCCAAACAGTTGTGGCAGTGCTTGAATATTGGGTCCTGTGTTGACACCCAAACAGTTGTGGCAGTGCTGGAATATTGGGCCCTGTGTTGACACCCAAACAGTTGTGGCAGTGCTGGAATATTGGGTCCTGTGTTTACACCCAAACAGTTGTGGCAGTGCTGGAATATTGGGTTCTGTGTTGACACCCAAACAGTTGTGGCAGTGCTGGAATATTGGGCCCTGTGTTTACACCCAAACAGTTGTGGCAGTGCTGAAATATTGGGTCCTGTGTCCCCACCCAAACAGTTGTGGCAGTGCTGGAATATTGGGTCCTGTGTTGACACCCAAACTGTTGTGGCAGTGCTGGAATATAGGATCCTGTGTCCCCACCCAAACAGTTGTGGCAGTGCTGGAATATTGGGTCCTGTGTCCCCACCCAAACTGTTATGGCAGTGCTGGAATATAGGATCCTGTGTCCCCACCCAAACAGTTGTGGCAGTGCTGGAATAAAGGGTCCTGTGTTGACACCCAAAGAGTTGTGGCAGTGCTGGAATATTGGGTCCTGTGTCCCAACCCAAACAGTTGTGGCAGTGCAGGAATATAGGATCCTGTGTCCCCACCCAAACAGTTGTGGCAGTGCTGGAATAAAGGGTCCTGTGTTGACACCCAAACAGTTGTGGCAGTGCTGGAATATTGGGTCCTGTGTCCCAACCCAAACAGTTGCGGCAGTGCTGGAATATTGGGTCCTGTGTCCCCACCCAAACAGTTGTGGCAGTGCTGGAATATTGGGTTCTGTGTTGACACCCAAACAGTTGTGGTAGTGCAGGAATATTGGGCCCTGTGTCTACACCCAAACAGTTGTGGCAGTGCTGGAATATTGGGCCCTGTGTCCCCACCTAAACAGTTGTGGCAGTGCAGGAATATAGGCTATTCTGTTCACTCTAAAACAGTCATGGCAATACAATGTTAAGCAGTAATGCCACTCATAGTTAATATATTTAGCATGTAAACCAGAATCCCAGAATCCCTGTTGTAATGACAACAGATTAGAAAGCAGTTCAATCTCTTGGTTGATGGCATATCTTGTAGACACCTGTTTGTAATATTCCAAACTTCATGTTACATGGCCCTATCATGTCACTTTACACGTCTCCACACTAATACCTGTGTGGGTCTCATTGATGAGTCCTCGACAGCTACCATTTCCTCAACACCAACAATAAGATTTAGTGTTCCAAACTGGGAAATCCAGCATGCAGCAAAGAGTCCTCAGAATGCTTAATTCAAACTAGTGTCAGTTTCATGAGGTGTGGGCAGCAGTGGTTAATGTAAGTACCACACAGATGTTACATTGAGTTCAGCATGTTTATTGATGTAATATTGATGTTACAGAGACTCATTACAAACCCTTCCTCCACGCACCACCATTCATCTTTATATACAATAAGAATAGACTCACAGATGACTTACACCCCAACTGGGTAGATCAATGCTCACTATGCTGATCTCTGGATTGTCTGGTCCAGACTTGATTATTTACAGACAGCCGCCATATAGCTGGAATATTGCTGAGTGCGGCGTTAAACAACAAACCAAACCAACCAACCACAGATGACTTACGTAGTTAATAACTTCACCTGACACAAAATCATATTTGTCTGGCTTCTGTAAAACAAATCTTTGTATTTCACAATTTTCTCATGAACATTCGGTTTCTAATGAACATTCTGTTTCTAATGAACGTTGTAAAATAGTTCGTTTATACAAAGTACTCTCACAGTTCTTGCCGAGATATGACTAAATACAATACATATCCAGGACACTTACATGAAGGGTAAATGTAGCATCAACAAGATGTTCTGAAGTTCACAAACAAATGCATTCTCAGCTGTTCTGCCTTTCAGATGTCACAAACCATTTCAGTCAATCTTCAGGTCCTCCAAGAGAGCTCAACGCTAAGGGTTAGCAAAAACTGCTAATCCACAGTGATCTCCCTTGTACATCAGACTCAGCATCACATTCCTTGAGTAATTGTCATTAAGTCAAAGATACAACTGTGATTTATACATCACAAAAACCTGCACATCATCAATCAATTCATCTCTGAACAAATCAGTTTCAATACTCACTTAAGCTAGTACAGAAAGTCTTCCCAGTCAGAGCCACTTTCACACAACACTGAATTGTTGTAAGAACCCACAGATGAAGCACCCTATAAAATCAGCCTTGCCTCCACCAGCTACTGTCTCACCCATGCGTGGTGTTATGACCCACAGGGCACTGCAGTCTGGTTGACAAGGGTATGGAAGTAAGTGTCCCGTTTCTCCTGCACCGTATGAAGGAATGTTTCTATTCTCGCCTGTCTCTCGGCTGTGTACTGGTGGACAAGACCCTGGGACATGATGCCGCTGGCATTACCCAGCGAAGACAGCTGCTGCATCGTGGACTGGTAGTCAGACTCCCGTAGGATCCGCTCTTGTTCTATGGCGCTGTTCAGCTTTGCATTCTGGTAAAAATAACATAAATCCTGTTACATATAGCATGCTTAAGTTTTATACATTATGTAAGAACTATTTCCTGACCTTTTACTATGTTGCTTTAAACAGCCGTTGTTCTCTACAGAACTGATTTCTGCTGAATAACTCAACCTCCAAGTTTTTATAAATCATCTGGTGTTAAGCTGACATATGCCTGATTTGCTTTGTTCAAAACACTAACCCAGCACAGTGCATTTCACCTGAATACCAGTCACTACAATCACCATTTGTTTAAAGATAGATCACTGAAACCCTCTTCACCAGTCAGTAAGACATTATGTAACCGTATTCCGTTATCACAATGATGCACTATTTTCATTAACAGTACAGTACATAGTAGCACTATAGATCATTCTTTGGGAATGTTTTTGTTTATTGTTATGTTAATCTCACAGAAACAGGAATTACAACGCAATGGCTTGTGCTCTGATTCAACTACTCTGGAGTCAATTATCTGCCTCTTTCATACCTTATGACAACCTGTAACAAAGTAGTTCCTCCCTATGCCCTATTGTTTATACAGTTTGACCCCAACATATGAAGGTTCGCATACCCTAAGAATTGACTTTCTTTGTGGGAGTTCTAATGACTATGATGACAAATATGGAGCCAATGTTGGGGTAGACACAAGACTGCCCATGCCATGGTCGAGTTGAGATACGACTTGAAAGAAGAACATGATGGGCTGGTACTTCTCATTCAGTGCTGCATCCAATCAAACCACAATGCCAAGGAAGGGCGATGAGTGGTGAATTTAGTTATACGCCGCACTCAGCAATATTCCAGCTATATGGTGGCGGTCTGTAAATAATTGAGTTGGGACCAGACAATCCAGTGATCAACAGCATGAGCATCCATCTACGCAATTGGGATATGATATGGGTCAACAAAGTCAGCGAGCCTGACCACCCGATCCTGATAGTCGCCTCTTAAGGGAATGGAAATGAATGTGACTGATCTATATGTTATTTGTTACTATTTGTTATATGTTGAATGTCACTATTTGTTACTCAGATCACCCACAGGTAAGTTTTGTAACTTGATGATTTGTTCACTTTGCTATATTTCTATGATGTCTGTGTGAAGTTGTGAATGAATACATCCCCATTACAATATGAACCAGGGTTCTTCACAATCATGAATCCCCCAAACATAAGCACCATTACTACACAGAGGAGTGTCAGTACTTTATTGGGACATAGGCATACTGATGTTAGAACAATCTTAACACATCAGCAAATAGGCCAGTTCCACCAACTATACATTGTGCTGTAACTACTGTCAAAGTGTCTCTCTCAGTCCACATGCATAGTGTTTGCATTGACTACATCACTACATTGTAACTCGTTGGTTATGGAACTTAGCACCCACCTGGATTGCTTGGTAACTTCTCTGGTAGTGGAGGACGGCACCATACAGGTGCCAGATGCTGAACTCTGGCCACAATACCTTCACAAAGGCCAGGCAGCTATAGCAACTCTGTAACAGAGGAATGGTGGGGAGTGAAAGGATGGTTAACATAACCATTATCTAATGAATTTCGAGGTGACTGTAAATATCTGTGACTTGGACAATCTTCATTGCTTTTGATTTGGTCTATAAACTGATCACAATGGGTTCTCAGGCATGAAGTCCAAATAATATACAAAGTAGATACAGTCATGGTATCACCTTGCATTGTGCCAATCTAAGTAATATATTAACGGATAGATAGATAGATGTCTAATGGATACAGTCTCATGATGTTCAAACAAACTTGGAGGTTTTCAACTGACCTCCCACAGCAGAAAGTCACTGAGTCGGACCTCTCCTGAAGTACGGATAAGCAGATCTAGGTGGCGAGACTGGGATGTGTACAGGCACTTCCCCAACAGATCTTCAGATATGTCACTGAAACATGTCATGTCATGCAGAACACATTCATACAACCTTCACAGGTCTAGCATTTTATACAGTATTAAGTAGAGGAAAGTGAGTCTGATAACCGACACAAAACAAAGACATATTTACTAAACTTCATTAAAATAAGATGGATGCTGGGTAATTTTAAGAGTATTTCAATTTTTCCTATGATAAATATTCCAACAATCAAAATTATTAAAAAGTAGGTGGTCACTGAGCAATTCTTGCAAGTCCAGCAGGACATATTTGGTGTCATCCCGCAGATGACATCCATGCCACGTCAGCTTGCTGACGGGGATAACCTCTTTGAGCATGTGGACTATGCTTTAACTGACTTCGGATCAGAAAGTCTGTGGTTCAAACCCCAGCATGGGATGAGGAAGTTTATGGCTGCATCACAAGGGAAGCAAGGGAATGTTACTGGCCTCATCAACTGACCTGTGTTTGAGCAGCCCTTTACTGACACCCTCAACCATCTCCCTCATTGCTGTACACATGTCATCACGGGCAGTGTACGCAAAACAGACATTCAGGATGGCTCTGAAACAAAGAAGAAGACTGTCAGCACACAATGTATCAATGTCTGCATCAACAATCTCCAGCACCGTCACAACACTCACACAATGTACAACAGTCTGTTTTACCCTGTACCCTAGACCGCCCTGATAACAAGTCTTGCTAGATTACCTTTTTGCCTAGGACAAAAGGGACTGTACAGTACAACCAGAAATTATTGAGAATTTAAAGATCGTAATTTTTTATTTTTTTTCACTCATTACTCACGTATTAAATGTGAATATTAGCAGAACATAACTTCAGATTCAAAGACAGGTGAACAGTTAGTATTTTGTCAAGTCACCATGGGCAGCAATGCAGGCTTCAATGCAGGCAGGGCATACTACTGATCAAAGAAGTTAGAAAGTCGTGGTCCATGCTGTCCCAATATCGGACTACCTCTTCTTTCATTTCAGCAATATTTGTCAGATTTTTCTTATTGACACTTTCCTTCATAAGTCCCCAAACATTTTCTATTGGATTTAGGTCAGGGCTATAGCTTGGCCAATCTAATAATGTCATATTTTGGGTCCGAAACCAGGCCTGTGAATGCTTTGAGCGATGTTTTGGGTCGTTGTCCTGCTGGAAAATCCAAAAATTTCCATAGAACACGTGAGCAGATGGAAGTAAATGTCCCTCGAGAATATCTGTGTACCGCTCACTGTTCATATTCCCTTCAAATACAAAGAGGGGCATTGCCCCTAACACAGATATGTCACCCCACACGTTAAATTTCGGACTATACTTTGGGTGCTGATACAAAGGTTTTTCAGTTTGATTGGTTTATTAGGAAACAGCCACACAGAACTTTTATCTGAGAAAATCACATTGTCCCAGTTAAAATTTCTGTGCTGTAAGCACTGTTCAACCTTCGCCTCCTTTGTTCAGGTTTCATGATCGGTGATGGAATTCCTCGACTTTTCTGCCAACCCATTGCATGCAGCTCAGTTCTAATTGTCTCCTTACAGACAGCCACAGTTCCTCTATCAATCATATCCAGCCTTAAGTTTTCTAAACTCCTTCGTTTGTTTTTAGAAACAAGAATACCAAGTCAGCCTCCTGTCACCAACAGTCAATTTTCTGGGCCTCCCTGGTGCTCAATGCCATATCCATTTGCAATATTTTTCAAAACACGATAAACAGTGAACAAAGGGATGCCTGTTTTACTTTCACTTTAGCTGATCTGATGTCCTTGTTATTATACTCTAAAATCAACTTCCTCTTCTCTAAATCATCCATACCGAGGATCACTGAAAATGTCGTCTGCTTGCAAGTAAACAAAGGGGGATAACTCTTCACAAACTAATGAAAAAGGATTAACGGATTTGTTTCTCTTGAATGAAGCCAAGCACTTGATAGCTAGTCAAGGTTGTTTATACTAGAAATCCAATTAAACACATTCCTAAAATTCTCAATAATTTCTGGTCATACTAAATAAGGGACGTACCCAGTATTAGAATACCTGCACATTTAGTGGTTGTCCTACATGCACAGGTTACTGAGTATAGGGGACATACCCAGTATCAGAATACCTGTACCAATAGTGGTTGTCCTACATGCACAGGTTACTGACTGTATAGGGGACATACCCAGTAATGGAAGACCTGTACCAGTAGTAGGCCTGCATGCACAGGTTACTGACTGTATAGGGGACATACCCAGAGACAGAATACCTGTACCTTTAGTGGTTGTCCTGCATGCACAGGTTACTGCCTGTATGGGGGACATACCCAGAGACAGAATACCTGTACCTTTAGTGGTTGTCCTACATGCACAGGTTACTGACTGTATAGGGGACATACCCAGAGACAGAATACCTGTACCTTTAGTGGTTGTCCTACATGCACAGGTTACTGACTGTATACTGACTGTTACTGACTGTATAGGACATAAATCTAGAGACAGAATACATAGGGGACATACCCAGAGACAGAATACCTGTACCTTTAGTGGTTGTCCTACATGCACAGGTTACTGACTGTATAGGGGACATACCCAGAGACAGAATACCTGTACCTTTAGTGGTTGTCCTACATGCACAGGTTACTGACTGTATAGGGGACATACCCAGAGACAGAATACCTGTACCTATAGTGGTTGTCCTACATGCACAGGTTACTGACTGTATGGGGGACATACCCAGAGACAGAATACCTGTACCTTTAGTGGTTGTCCTACATGCACAGGTTACTGACTGTATAGGGGACATACCCAGTAATGGAAGACCTGTACCAGATAGACAATTTAGGTGTGCCTTTGTGATACTAGGTGTGTCCATACCCATCAATGTCCCCCACCACACGGTTCCTGTATTTACCTTCACCACAACAATTATGTCCTGAAAACACATACCAAATATGGTTTCCCTATATATAACGGTTTCTGAAAAAATCTGTCCCCATCATCTCGGACGGATGTCAGTAAACAGTAAACATCATGTAATCCCGTAAACTTGAGACCTGGATTTCCTGAACACTATCATGACTGTAAGAATAGCTCTGCTTCATTTGTCCTGGACCCATAAACAACTCGCAAAATATGATATTATCCAAAATGGGACTCCCTGTTATGCCATGCCTATGTTAAACTATTGAGACCACTGATAAACAGTTTGATGAGTTGAAAAAGTAGGTTTTGAATCATCTGAGTTGGTCAAATTTATTGCATTTTTCAATAAATGAATTATGGTCAGTATTATTTTTATAATTTTAGTTGTGCCACCTGGGCACATTGAAAATATTTCATCGGTGCCATTTTAAAATTTACCCTGCCATGGCACACAAATTATGTGCTATTTCCATCCCGGTATGCATAGAAATAAAAGGGTCACTGAATAATACACATCCTATACAAAGGAAAGAAATGTCATGAACAATTTTCTTAAGAACTTCAATTCAGATCTGAGAATTACCATGGCAACTGTCAAAGATACAAACCTGAGACTTATGTTCAGCTATGCCCTGTTAAAAATCAATAACACACTTCTGCAAGGATCAGTTTACCACACTGACAATGGCAAGGGCAAAAGCTGAGTGAGATCTCCAATACAATTATGAACATAACACAAAATCAAATAAAAACTGAAATTAAACTGTTGGTATGATGTGGGTGGGAAATCCTATCTAATCGCACTGCAGTCAATATCTTCATGAATCCACTGAAAGGTTTCGGATGACGCTCAGTAGAGCAGAGCTGTGCTATAAATAGCACTGGCAACAGCCTCAATGGCTGAGAGCAGCTGAATGAGGTGGCATCTAACATGGCTAAATATACCTCTAGCTGAACAAACAGTATTTCCTCCTTGCTCTTGATTCCATCATAACATGCCCACATATATGCTTTGTGCTGGATGCAAGTGTGAGGAGACATAAATCATTGACAAAATTAACATACAAATCTGAATTCTTCACATTCAAATTGTTGCAACTAGTGACCAGTGGACTGAAAAACATCGCCGTATAAATAGCTGCTTCAGTCTTCCTGATGATGGAGGTCCGATGCCATTGGGTTCAATGCACCTGACTATGCTTGTGAACTTCTGATAAATAGACTAGGCTCTCAATGGTGTACCTTGACTTCCATTTTGGTAAAATATTAAACACCTCCGTCATGTAGCTGGTGCTTAAATGGGCACTAATCTACCTGGTTGTCTGAGATCACTCACTCTTTTGCTGCTGTAAGTCAATTTCTTTGCTTGGTGTGCAAGGCACTGGACTGCCGTCTGTTAGGACAGTGGATATTAAACTCTAAGCCACTTTGTACATGTATTGCTAACACTGATCTCAATATTACAAAGGGCACATGTTTGTCAATTTCTTCTACCTATCCAAACAGGACAAAAGTAGAATGGATGCCCGACAGATACTGTTATTTTGAAATACCCTTGATAGAGATGTGTATTTATCATCATTCACTTGATGTTATGTACAGAATTTACTACAGGTACAATCAGTTGTCGCATTATTCAAATTACCTGACAAAGTTGACCATTTGGCATTTTTGTGGCTGGGGTAATTTGTCAATCTTAGATTAGGAACATTGTTGATTGGAAGAATTTCCAACGATTATCACACATATTATTGCTCAAATTTAAATCACTCATATTTATCGATATTTGATCAATATTTAGTTTGTGATCATTGATCTCTACGAGCGAGATCGATAGCCAGCCATAGGAGGTCAAGAAATACAACAATGTACATTGATTTTCGTTTCCTTTCTCTCCTATCATTTTCAGTCACTGATTGATAAAATTAAACATCAAATTATTTGTTATCATAATTTAGAAATGGACAAATATGTGACACAATTTAGGTGATAAATAATTTCATTTTACTAACTGACTATTACAAATAGACACCCCATTATCAGCAGAGCTCAGCTGAAATCAGTGCTTTGTGTTACTTGTAAAAAACTGTGAACCGACCAAACAAGTGCCTTATCAAAACTTTGTCCCCATTAACAAATATGCTTTTCCCCCACCATAACAAACTGTATTTAAATGTTATCAGAGTGAAGATTTGCACGCATACATTAGATAAAAGCGACAAATGTCCCTACTGCTGACATAGCACAAGTCACAAACTGGTTGAGATTTTGAGATATCATCCAATACCAAAGGCTTCAACCCATTCCAGCAAATAATTGGACATCAGTTTATCTTTAGGTTCTAAGCTATGCGATTGCTGACAAGATTTCCTCCAAAAACTTGCCACAAAAAGTCAAGTGTTCTCAAAATTTTCTGACACCTTCAAACTTCTGTGGAAAGAGTTGTGCAAGAACTGCAGTTATGCAACACATAGTCCCACTTTGGAAAGGGAACCCTGTTGTAGCCTCTTGTTCCACATAACTTTCACTGACAACTCCGTGTGGGGTCTGTCAGTTTTTTCTTTGTTTCAGAGCAAATAATGTTTTTGAGTTAGTGCTTCTGACCATATATCTGAGGAACGACCCAAGCAATTTTTCTAAGGATCCATGACACATTGATCACACTCAGTGGATGAGTTTATTGGATTTCCAGA